TATAGTATAAAGTTTCAGGGCAATTTTCTAAAATTCAGAGCAATTCGCGGCGACGACTAATCAGCAAGCAAGCTGGTAGAGATGTCCCCAAATGCGATGAGTGGCGAGTGCCACAAATGGGAGAGTCAATGACCCGTTTCTTCTTTTCTGGGCAGCCGAAATGTTGCAGTTGCATTTGCAGATACAACAAATGTAGCCGAAAATGTGGCGATGGGTCGCACGGCGCCCGCATCTTTGCCAATAAAAAGAAAATTGATTGAGAAATTGTGAAAATGAATTTGAAAAGCGACCGGCGGGAGGGAGGAGAACAGCGGCACACGGGGCACTACACTCGAAATAAAAATTGCTCTACAAACTAGAAAGTCTTCTTAGTTTACAGTAATCATTTCTAAATAGAAGAGAACATTTTTCTTTGAACTATAAAGGCTTACCCTAAATCAATATTCCCCAAATATATATTTTTCCAACTTAAGAAATTCACTTCTAAAATGTAGAAATGTTAACACTGATTCTTAGAAAAAATGTATTTGAAATTTCAGAAAATAATAATGAAATTAGCTCGATTCAAAGCTCAATTTGAGAAATTCAGTGTGAATTTGTTTCTCTGAGTGTAGGCACATACTAATAGTGGCCACTGTGTGGCAATTGTGTGTGTGAAAGCAACACACAATTAAATAGCAAACAAATTTCTGCCAATTATTTGACATTAATTATGAATGAACAGCAAATGAGGGCCATTCAACGCGACTGGACCAGAGCCAAGACTGCAGACTGTGAACTATAGTTAAGCCCAAGCGAGGAACAAAGGGTTTTGCAGAGGACAATGTTTGTTTACCCAAATGGGTCCTCGAGGCTGCTGCCTGTCAACAACCAGAGCACAACTATGCTGGTGCAGCAGTTTTGCATTTCAAATTAGGAATGCATTTGTGTGTAAATCTGTCAAGCGTTTGCTGCGTGTTTTCCTTGGCGCTAAAAGCCCACGAAAATGCCGAACAAGTCATTGACTTTTGGCTCTCAGTGTGACGACGCTCTGTGTGAAAAGTATCTGCATCTTGATGGCGGTGCAATGGCCGGTGACGGTGACGGCGATGGAGATGGAGTTGGAGATGGAGTCGGAGCTGGAGTTGGAGTTGGAGAAGTCGCCATTGCGAGAGTCCGAAAACTGCCTGCCCCAAAACGCCAATCGACCAAGACGTGATTTTGACCCCCTCCAAAATGTTGAGCTCGAAGCAAGTTTTGCGTCGAGGCAATTAAGCCATGAGTTTGAGTTTAGGTTTGAGGCGCGGCATCAGCTCGCCTCGTCTATGCAATCAAAGCAAGAAGAAGGTTCGGCGAAAGCAAAAACCTCAAAAATGAAACATTTTTCAAAAAAGCAGAAAAAAATAGAAAAAGAAAAACGCATTTAAACGCACCAAAAAAGTCGGGTTTAATGCGCAAAGCGCCTCAAAATGTTGCAGCTACCTGTGCAGCGAGCAGCGAGCAGCGACCAGCAAGATCGTCCGTCTGCGGGTCCCCCACCCCCAAAAGAGCCAAGAGGCTGTGAGGCAGCCGCAAAAAAAACACGAAAAAGAAAAGAAAATATTCAGTAAGAATGCTGTAAGCGAGAGTGAGCTCGACTACGATAAACTCTGTAGACAGCTGTTAAGATTTAAAGTAGTTCAACTGCCAAATTTCATTTATAAAGTTTTGGCACACCCAAATGTAAGCATGCTGGAAAGTGCTCTCATTTCGAATGCCAGAATAAAAAACCAAGACCAATATAAGAATACATTTTCAACTATAACTTGGGTATTTCTTATTCGATCTTAATGAAGAAATATCAATGTTTAGTTTACATCAGATATTATATATCAATATTATTTATCAATATATTATTAATCAGTATTATATATTAATAAGAAACCTCTGCCTTTTGGGCCGTAGTTGCTTCCTTGTGGCTGTTACATAGCTGAGCACAAGACCAATATACCCTCTTTACACATGTTCAATAGGTTCAGGGCATAAAAAACGATCCACAGACTCTCAGTGGAGAGTCGTGAAAATTGTGTTTTTTTCTCTCTAAAGTCAAACTCAGACGGAGACGAAGTCTCGCTCAGATTTCATATCTGGGATTACACATTAAATGCATTTGCTGCTGCGACCTGACCTCGCCGTCGAACCCTTCGATTAGCGTTGCATTTGATACAAATATATATAAATATATATGTATATATATATATATATATATGTGTGTGTGTTTGTATTCTGATTGTCAACTTGTAGGCGGTCTGCATAGAAGAGTTCTTTGCCTCTTTGCCCTTTATTTCTCTCGATGCATGCATAAAAATAAGCAGCGATCTGCAGCACGAGATAAATCTGTCTGCGGCCCGAACCTGTTTTTTATGGCTAAAAAAAAACTACAAAAAAACAATGAAATTGAAATGCATAAGCGTAAATCTCACAGCAGGTAGTCCACGGCAAATTACCTGAATATCGCTCGGTTATTATTGCTGACTTCGAAGATGGCGATGCCGATGCCGATGCCGATGGCGACACGCAATCTTATGACTTTTTTGTGCATCTGGACAATCAATTTCCCAATGCTGGGCTCTCAAATTACGTCGCTGCTTCTTTCGGGCCATAAACCTGAAAAGGGTTTAATGGTTTTGTGCAAAAGGAAACAGCGCCGACTTCATAAGGCATATTCATATTCTTGATCAGCACCAAAAGACGAGTCCATCAAAACATTATCTGAGGCCATAAGAGACCATTAAAACTAGAGACTTCCAATTTGGAATATATAAGTTCTCCTTTATCTCGGGCAGATCAAGCTTATTTCATTTTATCGATAACTGCCAAGTTCGAATAAGAAACTCGCAAATTATAGCTGAAAATGTATTCTTATATTGATCTTAGTTTTTGTACTCTTCAGTGCTGCTTGCCGTACGAAATGAGAACACTTGCCGAGCATGCTTACATTTGGGTGTGCAATTAAACAATAAAACTGGAATATATTCAACAGCTGGCTGGCTGTAGGGTATATCGTAGCCGAGCTGACTCGCAATTGCAGCATTCTTACTTAGAGCATTTGGCAATTGAATTTGAAGTCTCTGATTATGCACATGATAATGAGTTGAAGAAAAGAAATGGTTTTCACTCGCTTCGCTGGCTGCGTGGGCGATCCGCTTTCAATTTTCCAATTTCCCAGAGCCTTTTGTGAAAAGGGTTCGATTGAGTAGAGCGTGGGGGAAATGCACTTGCGTGGAAATGCAAACATTTGCATGATCTTCCTCTAGGTGTGGTTCAAGGGAAAACTCTTCTTTTTTTTCTCCCTGTGTGAAAATGGTTTTCCAGTTTTTTTTTGCTTTCATTGCGAACCAGCAGAATGTTAAATGTGTGTGTTGCCTGCCAATATTTCCCAATTGAGTTTTCCGCTTGTTGGTTGTTTTTTTGTTGTTTTTTTTCTTCTTGCGTTCTGTTTGTGTAAATTGACGGAGCTGCGGGTCAAAGGTCTCGCTTGAGATAAGAAATTAACGTTTGGCAAACGCGGGCGATCTTTTTAATATAATTTTCTCTTTTTTTTTGCATTGTTTTGCTGCTGTTTATTTATTGTTGATAAATTGCGCGATAAGCTGGGAAATCAATGGGGAATTACAGAAAGAGTTTTCCACACACTAACGAAACACATGAAATAAATGAAAATTAACGCAAAAAAATAAAATAAACGCGAATTAAAAATAAATAATTAAGAATAAAGGGAAGAAAATAACAGCATTACCCCAACTCCCGTCAAACTGTAAACTGACAAAAGCACGAGGAAACCGTTGCGGTCGTTTCTAGTTGTTGTTGTTGTAATTTATTGTTGGGCTCTGGTTATTATTTTGTATCCGCCGTCATTGCATCAATACAACAATACAACGTGAGCACTTATCGCAAAACAACAACAACAAGAAATGCAGCAACAGCAGCAGCGGCAGCAACAACATATAAATATCACACAAAATGCATAGACAACACCGAAAAAGTTCATTGACTTTTCGCATTCTCGTTTAAAGAAAACGCACAATTTTTGGTGCTGGAGCCAGCAACAGAAACAGACAAAAAAAATAAATAAATATGGCTGCCCAGCAGCAGCAACAGCAGCAACAGCAGCAGCGCAGCGTGCACAAAAGAGCAAATGCCAAAGAAAGCAACACAGCAAAAGCAACAGCAACAAAGCTATTCATATTAAAGTGAAAATGAGCGATAACAACGCAAACACACACACAAAAACAGACCAACACACTTACACACACACACACTGCCAAGCAATCAACAGCCAGCCCACCGCACCCCACCCCCTTGCCCGGCTCCAAAGAGAAAAAACTGCAAGCGAATGCGTTTTTTTACTCTGCTTGCTGCGCCATTATCTCTCTTTCTCGCTCTCTCTCGCTCGATCAGTCGGCATGCGAGTGTGCGAAGAGAGCAGCCAGTTGGAGCTCAGGGCCATGCACACACAGACACACAGACACAAGCTCGCTAACACACACACACACATGCACCTCTTCAGTTTTATTGCATTGGAGTAGTGTCTGCTCGCTGAAACCAATTAAATTGCTTGCAAATTACGCAATTAATTATAAAATTAATTATTTAGTGTTGTTATTTGTTTATTAATATAATGTTGTGTATAAAATTTGCATACTTCAGCAATTAATTTAAAAAATTGCACCGCTGCCTGCTCTGCTGCTCAAAGGGAAATTTTTAGGGAATTTCTCTTTGAGGCGCTCAGCTGTTGCATATTTTAAGGCGCGCTCAAATAAACAAGCATAGCATACTTTTGGGATATACACAAAAGTAACTCCTGCCAATTTAAAAAATAACGAGCTATTATTAATTATAATAAAATTCAAAATACTAAATTAAGACTAAATCAGCGCCGTCCTCTTTGAACCACACGTTGTTGTTGCCATGGCAAGTGTAAAAAAACAAAGAGTTTTCGGTAACAGTTCAGTTTTAATGTACAATTAAAAGTAGCTAGATTTGGTAAAGGTTTGTTTAGTTTTTATTATACGAATTTGCTAATAGATGTTTGCCGGTCTAGAGTTCCACTTTGGGTGACTTGGTCAGCTTGTGGACACGGAATGCCTCCAGAATGTTGAGCTTCTGCTGCAGCTCCAACTTTTTGGCAGTTGTCACTTTGCCCGCCCGAAGTCGAAGCAGCCGCTTCGTTTCCTGCTCGACAAAATTGTAGCCGTGCTCATTGATCCTTCGCATGTACACCAGGTAAACCTTGGCATTTTGCTGCTCCTGGGGCAAACTGAGTTCCGCTGCCTTCAACTGCATCTCGCTGATCACTGCCAGCTGCTCGTTATCCGGTTTGTTGGCATAATTGCGGATGGCATCGTTGAATTCCTTGAGGCAACCATCGCGTCCAATGTAAAGCGGCGTATTGCTGCTCACAAACGATTTGAGGTTATCCAGGGTAACATCCAAATGTGCCGGAAATTGTAGATAATTTTCGCTGCTGCCCGTAAAGAGAAATATGCCCGGCAATTGTTTCTCATCCAACTTAAAGCGTTCTCCGAGCGCTTTATTCTCCAGCTCGCCGTAATCCTTGATGCCAACGGTGGCCACCAAAAGCTCTGCGGTTGCTTTATGCGCCGCCATGGAGAATGCGGCAAAAGCTTCGTGTTTCTCTCCATACGGAAAAGCAATATCGAATTTGATCAAAGCGTAGGGAAAACGCGCAATTGTCTTATCGAAATTGATCTCGTCGAGGTCCACGCAGCCTGCACAAGAGATGGCGTCACTCAGCGGCGACTGGGCCAGCAATGTTGCCAGCAGCAGCGGCAGCGTCAGCATTAATTTGATCATTTTCTGCTTCTTTTTTTTTATAGTTTTGATATTTTGCACAAGAAGACGAGGTATAAAAATAAACTTGACCCTTTGGCTGGCAATGCTGACTAACGACTGTTGCTATTCCCGTTGTTCCCACACCAGAGGCGAAGCCAGCGAGCAAGCGAGAGAGCCAGCGCAGCACTTGCCACTTTTCGCTGAAGTCAACAAGAATTATTTTGTTTGGTTGCCAGAGCCACGCGGCTTTCGACGCTGCCACTGCCTCTCAACACTGGCCAGCTGCTGCCGCCTCTCTTTGTGTCTCTGCTCTGAGTCTGACTGTCAACACCGGCTTTTGCTCTCTGCTGCTGCTGTTGCTGCTGCTGCCTCTGCTTTCGTCTTCGGCTTGACTCTAACTGTCAATGCTGGCTTTGTGTCCGACTCCGTCACCGCTGCTTTCGTCTCTGCCTTGACTTTGACTCTCAACACTGGCTTTTACTCTCTGCCAGCTGCCGCTGCCTTCGTCTCTGCCTCTGCATCTGCTCGTTGCTCTCAAAGAGCCAAAACTCTGACTCTCAACACTGGCTCTTACTCCGCTTTTAATGCCGCTGCCTCTGCCTTTATCTCTGCTGCGACTCTGACTCTCAGCACTGGCTGCTGCCGCCGTGTCTGCCGCTGCTTTCGTCTCTGCTTTTTACCTGCTCGCGGCTCTAAAAGCACCAAAGCTCTGGCTCTCAACACTGGCTTCTATTCTGCCGCCGATTCTGTCTACTGCTCTGCCTCTGCTTTTGCCTTTACCTCTGCCTCCGTCTGCTCGCTCTCTTACTCTTTATTTTACGCAGCCTCAGCCTCTGGCTCTGCCTCATTCTCAGACTCCTTCTTAGCTTCTACGTTGGCCTCAGTCTTCGTATGCGTCTCAGTCTTCACCTCTGCCTCTGCCTCTGCCTTTGCTCTTCGCCTGCTCACCTGTTTTGTGCGGCTCTCTCACGAGCATCGACGAGTGCTTTGTGCTCTCCCTCCAACTCCCTCTCCCTCTCCTGTCTCGCTCTCTCTTGCGATCGAGTTGAACGACTTTTGAACACGTCAGTTGCAGAAGCATGCGTGTTCTCTTGCTCTCTCTCTCTCTCCCCTGATATGCTTGCCAGCTCTTCTATTATTCTGGCCAACTTTGTCCACTTCTGCTTCTGCCTCTTCTTTTGCTGCTGCTGCTGTTTGTTGTTCGTTCAGCTGTTGTTGTTGTTGTTGTTTCTATTATTATTGTTATATAATAACCAGCTAGAATATTTTGTATATTTGGATATTGTGATATGAGTTTACTATAATTTCCAGTGCTGATCCGACAGATAGCGAAATTATTGTGGTTCAGCTTGAGTTGCAATCGGCGGCTAATGTGCACCCATCGCATCGATTAGCCAACTCCGACTTTTTGGCTAATGAAGCGTTCCACAAAAAAAAAAAACAACGAAAATTGTGGTGCGTAATTTCTCAAGCGTTTGTCATTGCCCGAATGTCATTAGAGCGACACATGTATCTATCTAAATATATATATATATATATACATATATATATATATATTTATGTATGTGTGTGCGTGCAGGAAATTGTAATTTGCAATTGGCCGAAATAAAAAAGAAAACGCTCGAAATGAAAACACCTGCATGGAGAACTTTGTCATAGGGAAGGGAGCGGGGTGGACAAAAAACCAACTAACCCCATTATAACTACTGGCGAAGGGGGTGGAGTTAAAAGGAAAACAAGCATTTGCCACAATTTTCATTAGGAATGAAATTGAAATTTTCCAAGCGCAGCAGTTTTGACCTCGCTCGGTGGCAACTCCCCCTACCCCTCCCCCGCCTACTGCTCCTGCAACAACTACAACCACAACTACAACTATTACTTCCTGCCTTACTTCTTCCTTGCTTCCACCTGATAATGGACATTTTCGGCAATTGTCAATTAATAATTCATGTGCGCCGCACACACATGCCACGGCCACGCCCCCCCATACCACCTCCGCCCCCATTCATTTGGTTTGGATTTTGGTCTTTTTTTTCATTTGCGGTTTCGTTTCGTTTGTCCAGCTCGGAAAATTGAGCAGCGGACTTGGCACGCAATTCGGAAAAAAGCATTCAGAGCTTCACACGATCGATAAATTATCTTTTGATGGGTGGGCGTGACACAAAAGTGGGCGGCAGTCCAACAGGAAGCCCACAATAGAATATACTATACTATATAGTTGTCATATATGTACACTCCCAAAAAAAAAAGTGGCCAAGCGGAAATTGAATTTATTATTTTCAAAGTAAATTTCTAAAATTGAAAGTTGATTCTTGCTAAAAATCAGATTTTGTATTATTTCACTTTGAGTTGGATTTTTCTAAAATTTTGAAAATATTTGTGTAATTTTCAGGGTTTTTATGATTTTAGTAGAATTCAAACATTTTAGATGGTTTATTAATTCATATAAACCTTAATCCTTAATTAACAATATAAACTAATTTAAAAACAATGTTTTCTTTTAATGTTTTCAATATGAACTAAATTAAAAAAAGAAGGTTTTCTTTTATTATGAAATTATTTTCTAAATTTTCGCAGTGATTTTTTTGCTGAGTGTATGCTGGGCTTGCTGTTGGGTATGCAGAGTCGAAGTCGGAGCCGGATCGAAGTAGGAATTGGAATCGGAATCGGAATTGGAATCTGACTGGCCATGCGTGCATATATTGTGTCAACTGGCTGTCGCCCGAAACAACAATGAACCAAAACTGTATATTGTTGGGCCCATTAGTATTAGCCAGGTCTATTGGTCTTGGTTCTGGGTCTTGGCCGGGTCGGGCTTAGTGGGTCTGTGGGTCTGTCGTTGTACATTATTTGATTTCGGCCTAGCGAAAAGTGACCGAAAACAAGGACGCGCCACTTCGCTGTGTACACAGTCGACTCCTCCTCCTCCTCCTCCTTCTAGTCTGCCCCCGCCCCCTTTTGCGAGCCGTCCCTGTTTGCGCTTCATACATTATGCAACACTGGCCAGGCAATTTGTTAAGTACACCCCAAAAGAAAATGGACAGTCGCGACGCATTTGCGCTAAAACGCATAATTCGAGTCAACTAACTGGATCTATGCCCCATTCCCCCTCTCCACCCTCTCTTAGCCCATTGAGGGGCTGGCGTGACGAGCCTTTTATTTTTAACACCCCCCAATACGTCATTGTTATCCTTCGGGCTAATTGCCAACGCATTTGAAAATCCTGCTGACATTTCAATGATATCACTCGCAACCAGTTTTCATAGTTTGCACCTTGCTAACGACCTCAAGACCTCAAAAATAACCGCTTATATTTAGATCTCCCCCCATTGTTGTTCTTAAAATACAGTGTTTAATCTATGGCATATTTTATTATAATGCGACGCAATGCGACCTGTTAGATCCAATATGCCACCTTCTGGGCATTTCTATAGCTTTTCCATCAATCTTACTTATGCTGCCATGATGTGCTTTGATAATTCTTTCCCATTGCTACAAACCCAGCCTAGATTGCTATTGACTATATTCTTAGTCTACAATCTATCTTCAAACTGTCAACTGATCGATAAGTATTCCAAGTCTGTTCTTGCATCGAATGTGGTTTACCCCACTCTCAGAATACTTAACAACGTCAAACAGGAGCTGGAATCGGAATCAATTGAAACTCTAAACTCTAAATTCTTTTTTATTCCGATGGTGAACTTTCAGACTCGACAGATATATATTTATATATATATATGCATATGTATTTTTATATCGAAGTGTCCTCGCTGTGTCCGCACATGTGGAGCATTAATAATATAAATTGTGCGGCTATTACGTTGCCGAATGGATGGGGACTAATAACACAATGACCTTTATTATGCGAAATGAAAATGACCGACATGTGGCCAATAACGGGATGGGAAGGGCAGGTACGTGTTGGATTGGTGTGTGTCCTGTCTTGTGTCCCGTGGCCAGGACCAGCCAATCGGCATTAGGGTGATAAGCGCGCAAATTTGAAGCGCATTGTGTGCGGCGTTCACAAATTCGAAATGAGCTTAATCTTAGCTAGAAATCTAACGATTACTGCATTGTTTTTATATGCTGTTCTCTATACCCTGTGGCGTGCCAAAAGGGGTAGATTAGAGCAGTGTAAAGTTCTGTCTCGCAGGCGGAAAGCATTTCTAATTCCATCAAGTTGGCTTTTAGTAATCAATGAAGTCAGAAAAGTATCTCAAGCTAAATGCAGGGTATCAGCCAGTCAATCAAACTCGCTTAGATCACTCTTAGCTGTTATTGACCAATACAAAGCTAATCGTTTCGTCTGCGTCACGGGAACTTGGAGCTGCCACTTGTTCCATTTTATTTTTTTACTGTTTTTTGGCAGCTCCAACCTAATTATGTGGGGGACACCAATTCACAGGCCTCGAAAATTGTTCTGGCCATGAATTTTTCATGGTACACGTATGCCAAAGTCATGCAACTAATAAGTATATACATATATGAATATGTATATATAGATCGGTAGTCCATTTGCACGCACACATTGCAAACTGGCAAGGTGGAAGTTTTCTCCAAAAGTTTTCCACTCCATCTCCACGTGAGAAAATAAGGAGCTGCAACCAACTTGTAAATTGGTAGCTCATCAACAATTTATATTTTTCTGTGTGTGTGTAGCATAATTCCAATAAATGGGCCATGAAACTCTCCACCTGACCGACATCATCTTGACCATATGGCTTGACTGTACCATTGTTATTCCATGTAGTCTATTAGCCCTATAATTCGCATGCCCAAAGTCAAATTCGTTGTTCTATCAACTACAACTGGCCAAAAGGAGGCGGAGGCGGGGGCGGGTAAGGCTCATCATAATTGGTATTTATTGAAAATGCGTTTTTGTTAACCCATTGCGACCATAACAGCTTTCAGTTCAAACCCTTATCGCCATCGGCTTTGCGAAGCGTTGAAAATTGGCTTTTTTAACAATGCCAAGAGTCAAGCGTACACAACAAAAAATCGACCTGAAATGTAGAAAGTTTTTCGTGATTTTGGAAATAGATAAATACAAGAGAATATATTTCTTAAAATTATAAAGGATTGCTTCTACTATTTTTTCAGAAATATTTTAAATTATTTGGAAGTTAATTTCTAAAATGTAGAAATAGAAACCCGGAGCAGAAACCCTTTCTGAAAAGCTAATATAAGAATCCACATATATATATTTTCTTTCTGGATAACAAGTTGAGTTTCCGCTGGGCGATTTTCTAAAATGCAGGCTGCTTTTTCTCGGAGTGCAGAAGGTGGCAGAGAGGGTAGCAGGGCAGGGATGAGGGGAGGGTTGAATGTGCGTGTGTGGATTTTGTGTTTATCGGTTTTCATTTGCATTTATTGCCATTTTTATATGGCCGAAATATCATCTTTGGCAATTGGAAGTGTTTAGCGCAAATTTGTTTTCAATATTTTGTTTTGTGCACCCAATAAACCCAAATGGAGTTCCATGGATTTGGTTGTGGTCAGTTTAGGCCGCTTTTATGGCACACAATTTGATTGCAAATAATTTTTTGGCTTTTTGTGCTCTCAACTCTTTTATGCGAAATGCGTGCAGTGAATAAAAACATGAGAGTGGAGCAGGCAGCGGGGGTAATGGGGGAGGGGAAGTGGTGGTGGTTGTAGTTGTGTCCTCCGCATGACCTCTCAAATTTAAATGAATGGTTTCTAGTTTTTCTAGCCTCTTAATGAGTTTAATGCATAATTATGTCGATGTGGCTAGTCAGCCCAGCTGGAAATGCTAGAAAGGCCGTTAATTACGCTGTCCAATATTTGTTGAGGAGTCGTTTTGTGACAAATTCAAATCAAATATGCCCCCCACACCCACTTGCTCCTTATGGCCACTTTCACTGTCAATCAAATGCTCTAATGATAATTTCTTAAGCGATTGACCAACAAGACCATTTGCTTTGCGGCCAACACACAAAATACCATTAAAATATGGTCAAGTAATTAGCCAAAATGGATTGTGGACGGAGGCAGGCTGCCAATGCACTCACAAAAAAGATAAAGAAATCGCGCTGAAAACTGAAAAGTTTTTCTGATTCTTAGAAATGAATAAAAAACAATTTAGAAAGTTTTACCTTAAATTCAAAAGCCTTCATTTTTCTCTTTTCTTTTAAACTATTTTATATTATTTAGAAAACATCCTTTCTAAAATCCAAAAATAAATAATGAAATTTTAAATAATGTATTTTTATATATTAAATAAAAAATGAATGAATGAATGAATACTTTCTGAATAATAAGTTGAGCCACACTTGTTGAATTGCTAAAATTCAGTGCGATGCTTTCTCTGAGTGTATCTAATGTGGGCTCCTTAATACACTTTCGATTGCTTGTCTCGACTTGACTTGCCGATCATCGTCTTGGGGGGTACTATCTGTGGGCACCTTGCAACTTTGGCTGGGGAAATGTGCGTATAACAGTTTTTGGCGGCATGCCGCATGGCGCATGCGTTGCACTTGAAGCGAGAGCGCCAACTTCCAATGCGACGGGCAATTTGGAGGCATTTTTGGGGAGCGTTTGTTTACAAACAATTGCAAAGAGAGGTGGCAAGAGCGCCAAGCGCTCACTCTGCGCTCCATTCTGCTGCAACATGCTGAGAATGGCACTGAGAATGCCGCATGCAAATAAGTCGAATGCTTGCCACCTCCACTTGTTGCTGCTGCCACTGTTGCTGTTGCTGTTGCTACTGTTGCTGTTCGAGGTGCATGTGGCACATTCAATGCAAGGCAATTACTTAGACCCCTTTGGGAGGGGGAGGCGCAGGACAGCACAGGACGTTAGCTCAGACAGACATGCAAATTGCCGTTTCACGAAACAGAATTAAGCAAGTGAAACAGCCTTCCTCCCACTCCCACTCCATCTCTCTCCATCTCCTTGCAACCCAAACCCTTCATGAATTCATTCTGACCATGTTTTTATACCCTGAACCAGTCGAAATTGGCTAAAAAGAGTTTAATGGTATTGTGCAAATAATTGCAACTGGCAGAAGGAAGCAGCTTCGACTTCATAAGGCATATATATTCTTGATCAGCATCAACAGACGAGTGGATATAGCCATATGCGTCTGTCCATCGCAGAAACCATAAAAACTATAGACTCCAAATTTGCAATATAAGTTCTCGTATACCCCGCGCGGCTTAAACTTATTCTATTTTACTGATAACTGTCTCTGTTTCGAAAATATCGATAAATTTCCATTTACGATTGCAATAAAAGCCACAATATTAAAGGCATGCTTTTCTTGACATTTCAAAGTGAAATTTGGGCAGTTAAGCTAGAATATATATTTGACGGATGGCTGCAGGGTATATCGAAGTCGAGCTCTTTCGACTACAGCATTCATACTTGTTTTGGCATGGTTTGCGTTTGCTCCCGTGACATGTTGCAGTGTTTTTTCGCCGCTTAACATTCTTTTTCGCTTTGGCAGTGCACCTCCTTCCCTCCCTGCTCCTTCCACCTTCCTCCGCCCTCATTGCGCTTTTGTTTTATAACATTTTAGCGCAAATTGCCATCAAATCTAATTGGCAATGTCGCGACAATGTCCAACTCTGAAAATTGCATGGCTGCCTTTTGATTTTTTGCACTGATTTCGCTGGACTGCCTTTTTTCTAATAAATACATGTGTGTCTATTAACTCTTGGCAGTTTTTATATATAAATGCTATAATGGATGGACGAGTTGAAGCACTGACTGAAGGGTCAGCTCGAAATGGCATTTTATATTGAGCTGAAACTATTGCTTCTGGGTAAATCGGTTATATACACTCCGTAAAAATACACATGACGAACTAATCTGAATATAAGAAAAGCAGTCTCTAGTCGCTAAATATATCGACAATCCCAAAAAATGCTATTTCTCTTATAAATATTTTCTATTATTAAGAAATGCATTTACAAAAAGTAGACAATCAAATGTTATTTTTTTAAAAAATCGTATCTAAAGTTCAGAAACAAGTCATCAATTTTGGTGGTTATAATTAAAGCCAGTAAGCAAAAAGTTAAAGTATTTGAGAGTCTAAACACAAATGAAAAGGCATTCCTAAACTTATTAAATTTTCAAAATATTAGAAACTAAGAAAAGAAAAACCCTTTTTTCTTAACAAATACTTTCTGAATAATAAGTTTATTTGCCACTTGGCTACAAGAGTATAGCGAATTTCTAAAATTCAGGGCGATTTCTTTTTCTGAGTATATATTGTAGGGAACTTTGTCCATTGGAATTGCTTGCTGTTTGCCTTTGGCATGGGCAGAGCTAATAAGTTGAAAACTTGATAGAATAGTCGTAGTTGGCAAAGGCACAACTTTGGTGGCTCTTTGAAATTTTGGAGTGACCTCTCGTGCGCATGCAATATGCAGCAGTTTGGAAAACAATAACACAAAAAACGGAATATTCGCAAGAGGATATTTCCACGCGCATTTAAAAATTCATGAGCAGAAAGCACTCAATGCGGCTCCGGGCGGTTATCGTGTCCGTCGGACATAGCCATTGTTGGTTGGAGGAGGTGGTGAAGGGTCGTGGTTGCAATTCTTGGCAGGTCGACAGAGCGAAGTGAGTGAGTGGGTGGGGGGGCGGGGATTGACTGATGGATTGACCGCAGCCCAGGTGCAGAATTTCAACGCGCGTCGCATTTGCCGTTTTATCGGGCATGGAACGCTTTATATCTAAACTATGAATCAATGCATTAGTCAGTCACCTTGTACGCTCCACTTTAATTACTACTTTTTATGCTCTTTCCCTTTCTCTCTCTCTCTCTCTCTCTCTCTCTGTCTGCCATCTCTTTCCATTTTCCCCCCTTAATCGTTTGCTGACATTTTTTTGCATGTTGCGAGCACAATTTAAAAATTGCATAGAAAAGGCCAACTGAAATTCCTTCCACGGAACGTAATATTATTAACAGCCACCCCACCTCACCTCCCCTCCCCCTAACTACTCCTCCCACGCCACCGTTTGCTGCCACAATGAGCTGCATAAATATTGCATTACAATCATTTAGCTCGTTGTTGCACACTGCACACTGCAAATCGCGAATTGGATTTCATGTTAATGCAATGTCCTTATCGCTCAACATGTCCTGCATGCGTCACAATTGCTGGCGCGGTGCAGGTTGGGGGTGGCACTCCCCATGGATTCATTTGTTTTCTATTTGCTTGCTGTTTTTATTTCTGTGGCGACTGTTAATTGCCATGATGTGGCATGCTTCAGTTGCAGCCACACTCAGCAAAAAAAATTACCTTGATTTCTAGAAAATCGCATTGAATACTTGAAAGTTCTCAACTCTCTATATATAAGAAAAAACTGTCTTCGCCAAGGATTTGGCTTCAGGCTTTGCACCTCTGAATATGTTCCAAATTTCCAATTATGATCATCCATCCATATTCTCTGCCCAAATACCCATTAGAAAATAAAAATAATCGACAATCTGAGTAGTGTGTACATTTAGGATTTGTTTTTATTTGAATGCAATTGTGGTTTACAATATAATGTATACATATAGCATATATATATATATAGATTTATATAGAATTTTGTTTTCTGTTTAACTTTTGCGTTTGCACATTCAATATTTGATTTATTAATGCCGTGTAATGCATTTTGTTAGACATACATAATAATAAAAGGTAGTTATATAAACAACAGTTTGTATTTGTAATATATAAAAAAATTATAAACATATGGATGTAATTGCTCCAGAAAAACGTTATGGATAGCTCAATATAGCATATAGATTTTGAATTCTTTCGTACATATATATAAATATATCGTATATATATATAGTCATGTGTCTGGCTTCAGATCTATCTATCTGTCTGTCTGTTTGTATATAAACTTATGTGAGTATGTGGTATAAAAGGTGTACTCGATGTGCGGTGTATTTTGATTGTGTGTGTGTGTGTTGGTGGTGCGTGTGTGGATCGTATGTGGATTGTAGAAGCTGTGCTGTGTTTTTTACTTCGTAATTGTTTAAAAATAATTATAAAATCTACTGCGTCTGCTGTTGTATTTCAATCTTCTCGACTGTCATGTCCGGATTCATGGCTGTCGCTTCCTGCAAACAAGCAAATAGATCGAAATCATTATAGATATATATAGTATTTATATTTGTCAGCAATTTGCACTCACTTGTATTGCCTCAGCCAGAGCCTTGTCATGATCGATTGGATCGCCATCGGATTGAATAGTTATCTTCTGCTCCACACGGGTCTCAACAATGCCATCGCGTTCGGTTTTATACTGTTGGCAAAAGCAAAAGCAATAGATTATTATCATATTATAATAAAATCACACGATTTTCAACGATTTTCTACACCATATAACCCATTTGAACAAGAGACTGATGTATATAATATGTACAGCGTGGGGCGCATACGAACACAGGAAGAATTCAAATTTGGAATATCTGATTGAAAGCCTACCTCCAACTACTTACTCATGTATCTCTTTGCTTTTTTATCTGAACTCGTAACAAAACTGTACTATAACTTAATTTATGTTTTTTAAAAATGTTTTAGTTTTAATTTAGATCCACTCTATTCAGATGTGTAGTGATGTGTAATCTGTGTAATCGAGTACGATCTGTACTTACGGTAATCGTTTCTACGGTGCGGGTTTTACTGCTCACGGTTTGGGTGGAGATGATCTCGCCATGTCCTGAAAAGCCGGGCGTATCCTCGCCGAGCACCACACGAGTACTCTCCACATGTGGCCCAGATGTGGATGCAGTTAGCGGAGATTTCTAAGCGACAGATTGAACACAAAATATTAGAGATATTTACATAGATTCATTTACATACTACTAGCTACTATTAACGAGAGGTTAGTTGTCTAAGTGTCATGCCACAAACCTGTTTGTCAGTGCCACGTGCCACGCTTGAGCCATCGTATGGCCCATCGATGGGTGTGCCAGAGTCGCCGGAGCTGGTCGATGAAACGCTGTCGCGTCTCTGATACTAAGCAACATTCAACATTCAACAACAACAAACATAAGAGAGATAACAACGGCAAATGCAACATAGTTGATAAAAGATAATCATAAAAGGGAAACAATAAATCAGTACATGCAAATAATAAGAGTGCAGCCATGCTTGGCAATATCCGGATGCTTACCTGATCGCCACTGGTTACCGTCGCCGTCGTCTTCACCTCCTGGGTGACGACGCGCTGCTGCTGATTGCTGGGATCCAGGGTGCGTGTGGTGGCCACTGTTTTCTCCTCGAGCTGTTCCGTCTTCGCCTTTTTGCCGAGATCCTCGTGCGTGGTGGCGGTGCGTGTGGTGACTGCGGTGGCCGTGACATAGGCGCCACTCAGATCGGTGGGTGTTGCATCAGCCTACGTGTTCAGTTGGTGGTTTCAGTGGTGATTTGGTTAGTGCGTAGTCAAAATGGCAACAATCAACAATCAACGTTTACAACAACACAACAAGTAACAGCAAAGAGCAACAATTAGCAAAGGCACACGAAATCAAATAAAAAAAAAAGAAAATATAAATCAAATTAAGCGCGAGGCAAAGTTGAAGCTTTGTAAGAGGTGGGAAGGAAAGAACTCCCGCCTTGAATTGCTGTGAATACACTCGGAAAAACGCTCTACATTTTAGTAAATCACCCTAAAAACAGTAAACGGTTTTCTAGTTTTTGGAAATATTTGCTAGTCATAAGGAAGACATCTTACAACATTTAGAAATTCTTGAATTTATCAACTATCTAATATGATTGCATATGTGTCTCAAATTCTAATATATTAATAATAATATATTAGTAAAAAGAGCTACTCTTCTTCTACAAATCACCTTAGAAATGAGACAATTTTAGAAATTTACTATTTGAATAACAAGTTGAGTTGCCCTAGGCGATTTACTAAAACATAGGTCGATTCTATGGTTTATTTTTTTGCTGAGTGTAGAGAATAGTCAATGGCTAAGAACAGTTCCTAACCTTGTGCTCCTGTGTCGAGTAGGTGACTTCGCCGGTGCCGAGATTGCGCACCTCCTCCTCGACGTTGTGTGTGACGCCGCCGTCGTTCTTGGTCAGCACCTGTTTCGTTGTCGTCTTGACCACAGTCGGTGTGCTCCCTGGTTTGCCGCCCAGTTTGCTAGCCTGATTCGTTGGACTGAGCACAATATCGTGAACAGTGTCCGTGCCATACTCTTTAGTCATATCATCGTCGTCGCCCGAGCTGCCCTCGGAGTCGCGTCTCAACGCGCCCTTGCCAATGTGCTTGACCCCGTCAAAGAATTGCTGACGGGTAATGGGAACCGTTTCTGTTGTCGTCTGCACCTGGGCCTGTTTGCCAAAGTGCGAGGGATCGATTTGGGCATAGTTGAGTATTAGCTTGCCGGTGACTGGATCTGTGACAGCAGTGGCCGGATCAATGTCACCCGTATTGGGATCGATATCGCCATATTCGCTCTTAATGCGTCCCGTCACCGGATCAATCTCACCAGTTAGGGTCATCGTGTGGGTGACTGTGGTGCGTGCGCCAGCGAAACGTGGATCATTGGGATCGACCTGAACAATTTCACCAGTTAGCGGATCAACCATATTATAAACATAAACCGTTTTGTTGAAGAACTTAAGAACACGCCCGGACACCGGATCTATTTCGCATGTCTCGGGATCAACCTCCTCGGGACGACCACGTTCATCCGTTTTCGAGATGAGCAAGATCCGCACAATGACAATTTTGCCCGTTTTGGGATCAACGCGAGCCAACTTGGTATACACCTCGCCCGATTCGGGATCCACCTGAGTCGCAGCATAAAGCGGTTCACCCGTCGCCTTGTCCACTTCACCGGTGGCTGTATAGATTTTGCCGGACAACGGTTCGATTTTGATGGTGTTGGGGTCGAGCTTGGTCTGTTTCTTGATCTCGTTGCTCTTCGGATCCAAATAGCCGTAAATTGTGATGACATAGCCGGTCTTGGGATCGACACTGCTGGAAATGTACTGGAGTTCCTTGGTGCTCGGATCACTGTTGCCCGTTGGCACCCAGATCTGGTTCGACTTGGGATCGACAATGATGTCCTTGTCCTTGGCGGCGCTGACCTGTGAAATGGGCGCCTTTGTCGCCGGATCCACGCGCTGTTGCACAATGCGCAACGAGATGATTCTCGCATAATCCTTATCCGGTTTATTGTTCTTTGGATTGACTTGGTTCTTCAGCACAATCTGGCCCGTTGATGGCTCGATTTTAATGTCACGGGTTACCGTTTTGCCGGACTTGGGATCGGTGTAGGTTATGGTGTGCTTCACCAAATCAATCTGACCGTATTTGGTGTCAATCTTACCCGACTTCGGATCAAATTGGCCGCCCGACGTCTCAACGAGCGCCGTCTTCGGATCGATCACGTTCTTCTTGGCATCGAATTTGCCCGCCAAGGAGGTGACCTCCACAATCGGATCGATCTGCTGACCGACCTCAATGATGCGTCCCTGATTGGGATCAAGTTTATTCGTTTTCGCATCAATGACGCCCAAAATGGTGATTTGTCCCGTGCCCGGATCAACCTTGACATTCTTGGTGACCACAATTTTGCCAGTTTTGGGATCGATGGCTTTGAGTTCGCCAGTGCGTGTATTTATCTCACCATATTTAGTGTCTAACAGGCCCGTGTCCAGATTCAAAACGCCCAGCGAGCGCTCCACTTCGCCGTTAACCGTATCAATTTTGCCGGTCGCCGGATCAATGCGACTCGTTATGACAGTCAGCTCAACAACGGGATTATCCTGCGGTGTTATGCACATAATCTGGCCCAAAGTTTCATCGACACGTCCTGTTGTGGGATCAGAGACGCCCGTCACCAAATGCAGATTGCCCGTCTTGGGATCTACATCGCCCTGATACACTTCCTTTTTGCCTGTCTTCGTGTTGAGTGCCTCCAAGGTGCCATTCTTGGGATCAATTACGCCGTACTTGGTATCGATGCGACCTGTAGCGGGGTCCAGAATGCCCGTGGAGTGCTCAATGCTGCCGTTCTCGGCATCAATACGCTTCGTTGCCGGATCGAATTTCGATGTGATGACCATAATCTTGACGCGCTTTTTCTTGGGCTTGGCTGCTGCGGCTGCAGCTGCTGCTGCCGCTGCTGCAGCTGCTCCAGCTCCAGCTCCAGCGCCAGCTGCAGTAGGTGCTCCAGCTGAACCTGGACGGGCTGCGCCCGCTGCCAACTTTGTGGGTGAATCGGCTCTTCTAGCACCATCTGCGACGCCCACATAGCCGGGCTCCTTGTTGTAACGCTGCGATTCGAGAAATTCGGCCGTGGGATCAATGATGGGCTTGTAGCTGCCGGGTGCGCCCGAAGCATAGCCCTGCTGTCCCTGCTGACCCTTTGTCGGGGAGTACGAACGCTTCTGGTTATCGCGCAGAGGCACTGCAGCCGCATCGACAGCGCTGCCCTGCAACTTGGCTCGTGTGGTCGGCGAAAGATTGCCATCCTGCAGGAGACGTGCCCGTGACTTGGGCGACAACTGGCCGCGGTTCAGTTTATCCTGGGTGCGTGGCGATAGCTGACCCGATTTAATCTTCTCGGCCGTCTCCTTCAGCGCATGCTCATTGCCAGGCGCATAGTTGAAGGCCAACCCGATTTTCTTTTGTTGCGATGCCGGCGACAATTGTTCCTGACCATCCGGGCCAAGTTGCTTGCCACTCTGTGGCTCCTGGTCGTAGCGGAAGCCACCGGGCGTATAGGATTTACGGGTGGGACTGCCGGCGTTGCCGCCATCCGCAGACACGGCATACTCGTAGGGACGAGTGACGCCGGGTGTGGTTGAGCCGCGCTTCTTGGCGGCATCCTCGTTTGGATCGCGCTCACCCAGACCCGATGTGACGACGAGACCAAGACGAGCCATTTCCTTATCCTTATCCTTGCCATCCTTATCCTTGCCATCCTTGGAGGGTGAACCGCTCTTGCTCTTGCGACCCGACGAGAATATACCAACGCCCTGTTTTGCCCGGCCAAAAACGCAAATCAAAATTGTGGAAACATAAAAAGAAACAAGTTGTGGATGGTGGGATATATAAAAAATTAAAAAATATAAATATTCAACTGATAACTGGAACGATTAGGATTTACTACTAAAATACAAACTATCATATTACTTAGGAGCTGAACTTAAGTGTGGGGTGGGTTCTCTTTGGGTGGGAGTGGGTTGATAACTTGGTTTTATATGTACACGAGCGCGATGAGGTCTTAACTTAATGCTCAATACTTAGCATATATTTAGCATATCTTACACAACTGAGAGGATAGCATTTGTATAATCTAGAATACTTACACGTCTGCCCGACTTGTCTGATTTGTTGGAGTCATTCAAATCATCATTGCCTGTTGAATATATAACAATTATATTGATTCTCATTCCCAGATTGGATATATTCCATTTTATATTTACCATTGACTCCTGCAGCAGCAGCAGCAGCGGCTGCCTTGGCTGCCTTTTCGGCCTTTTCTCTTTCCTTTTGTTCTCGCTTCTCTTGCTCCCTGCGCTCCTTTTCCTCCTTCTCCTTCAGCTTCTTTTCGCGCAACTTTGCCTCCTTCTCCTCGTCCTGTGGGTAGCAGAAATAAACACAATTAATGCCAGATTTTCAGCAAAAGATGCCAACAGATTTTGGTCGAAAAACAAAGCTTACGAATACATGCAACAAAAACAAATGAGATTTGAGGACAAAATGTGTTACTTAAGCGCCAAAATCAAAAATGGATTATCTTTATGAATGCAGTGTTTAGTGATATGCATTTTATTTACAACACAATGTTTGTTTTTAGTTTCTTGTGTATATTATTTGTATTATTTGTATTATTTGTATTATTATAAGGTACTTCATATTTACAAAGTAAAAAGCGATTGTTTTAATGAAAGCGCGCAAATGAGAATGAAACATTTAAAACTCAACTCAAACTAAACATAAAATAATTTAGATATCGGTATAGTATAGTTTGTAGTATGCAAATGTGTTTCAGACGAATCGGTTACAACAATTGTAGAGTAGAAAGAGAGATATATATGAGTGGGCAGAGTAGCATAACAATTACTCTTAAATCATTTACCATTATGTCAAAGTCCGCGATCAAAGGCTACCAGAGGTTAAGGAAAAGTCATTTATGTAATCAAAATAAAATTGGCATTAATTAAAATAATACGTAAATAAAATGCGGTTTTATCTATATATATATGTGTAAGGTAGGTAAAGAAGGACTTCCAACGAAGTAGTTATACGCGGAACGGATTTCGTATAGTAGAGAAGAGAGATAGTTTAACTGCTCTCAAATATTTAACCATTATTGAGATCAAAACAAGAAAAGCTTTAATTAAAATAGAATGTAAATAAAATAGAAGGCAGTTTAAGAAGTACGCTTATCGCTGATCGGATTTGGTAATTCACAATTCGTATTTGTATATAGTACATAGGTTCACAACGTTCAAAAAGCAGAGTTCAAGCCAAAGATAAATATAAATGTATTTGTTTTTTTTTTTTGTTGGGAATCTTGGAATTCTTGGTACGAGTAGGATATTTTAGAAAAAGTAAAGTTGAGAACAGTAACCTGAGCAAGAGACGAAAAATCGGGAATAGTCGTCTCATAGTCGCCCTCGAGTGAACTCTGCGAGGAGGCTGAGGCTGTGCCGGTGCTCGAATCGCGTATTAACTTTGTTTTTTGTTAATTAGTTTAGTTAGATTAGGTTAGTTGGTGTTTATGTTGGGATTAGGGTACGATTCACGCAAACGAGCAGCAGGTTAGGCGAGCACATCGTGTTCATTAATTTGTGTGCATGTGTGTTGGTTGGGTTTGGTTTGGTTTGGTTTGTGTGAGAGAGTTGTGAGAGTTAGTAACGAACCGAGAAAAAAAAGGTAAACAAAATTATTATCTGATTAACTCCCACATGAATATTGTTAAACATGTTCAATCTTAAGGCTGGCTCTCTAAGGCTAGCGGATCAGGCTCAATTTACAGGCTCAACTCCCTAGTGCTAGTGTTACCTTGTCCTTTTTGTCCTTCTTGATGGGACTGCGACTGTGTGCATCCATATCATTGCTACGGTCGCCACGATGATCCAAGGTGTTGCTCTTGCGTGCAATCTTCTCCTTCTCGGCCATCGCCAAAGCTAAATGATAAAAGATTCTCCAATTAGTTGAAGCACTCAACGATTGTGATCAAGTTGAAGACAAACCATCCATGCTGCGCGATGAGAGACGTGCCCCGGACAGAGCTCGATCGAACTTGGGTGCCGTCCGGTCGACGGGTGTCGCCTTGCTCTCATAATGTGTGCGCCCAGAGAAACGATACTTGGAGCCGAAGCGTGGCAACAGCGTAGATCGGGTGTTCGGTTCTGGGGTCATCAGGCGGAAGAAGGTGTGATGCTCCACGCAGGATTTCCACAGCTTCTTGGCGGCACGATGATTGGCAAGCTTGAAACCGATGGTGGATTCGTATTGCTCGAATTCGCCCGGTCGTATCTTAATGTAAAAATGATGACGCTTGTACGAGATCTTCAAGATCTTGGGCCAAGCGAAACGGTTAATGCGCAATCTGCAAGGGTTTTTTATTATTATTTATTATTATTCGAATTTGATGGGTTGAATATGTTGCGCTTACTTGTCGCGATAAACCAACAAACCGGATGCACACACGCCCAGCATAATGTCGACGCCTTCGGAGTCCTTGGCGGGATGCAGATCCACGCCGTACATGGCCAACTTCTTGGCATTCTCCAAATAATGCAGCTCGGCCTCAGCGGGCGATTGACCCCTGCAGAAAATTAGATAAGAAATGGAAATATATAAAGACTGGAATCACATTTTTAGGAGGCAAACACAGAGAGCAAAAGCCTATATCTTCACTACTCCATATTTAGAGACTAGGGAAGAAGGTAGACTGTTATCAGCTGGTGTTATTTATTGGAATCAGAGTTCTTCCGCTTGCTTCAACACTCACTTGTGCGTCTTGTGCAGATCCATAACCTTGTCCTCCAGCTCTGTTGTCTGATTTGGGGCGATTTTAAAGTCCTTGAGATAGGCACGTGTCGGCATCTCCTTGGGATCATAGTCACCCATCTCCGACTGGACCAGGTACGAGCCGAGCAGTGCGTGCGTCACAAAGGTGCAGGGCAGACGACCCTCGAGGATATCATTGCGCACCTGCAAACAGAGATGATAGCGCGTGATATCTTCCTGCAGCTGTGACGGCTCCGGCGGATAGAATTTCACGGCGAACGCCAGCGGCCAGGGATCGGTGCGAAAGAACTTCGACACGGGCTTTTCTAAATCCAGCCAGACTCGAGGATCGGTGGGCGTCTCATAGGTCAAGCCGAAGTAATCCTTCTCAATGATGTTCAGGCCTGCACAAATCGAATTAACCAGATCGCGACCTTTGGCCTTGCGCTGCAAAGAGCGAGAGTTCAAATTAGTTAGGTTAATTAGCGAATAAGATAAGATTATGAAGGGAGATTACTCACATCAATGGTCACGTCCAGCACGGAGCCATCGAGCAGGGAGACGCGTGCTAGCGCGGCCTTCGAGAATGCCGATGAGCTGCTCTTCGATTTGCTCTTGGTTGGTGTTGTTTCCGGCTCCGCTGGCGCGGATGGTTTCGTTTCCGCCGGCATCGTTCTGGACTCAGTTCAGCTCAGCTACGCCGACAGTTTGCTGAATGCAGTTAAAGTTGAAGAAATTGTCGCTGCAAATGAAGAACAATCAAAGATTGAAAAACACTTAGACAAAAAATAGGCCTGCATTTCTACCTGAGAACTGAAGAAATTATTTCTAAGTCAATCCTGGGAAAATGGAGTTATTCTATTTTTTAAACATAGTTTCTATCATTAAGAAACGGATTTCTCAAAAGTAGAAATACGTATCGAAATTTTTAGATAACATTCTGACTAGAAGAAAAACACACTTTCTAAATAAGAAGATGAGTTTGCTCTGATGGCAAATGTATGACGAATTAAGGGCGATTTTTTTTTCTAAGTGTGGTCGAAGGAAGCGCAGTCTGCGCACTGTGCCGGATGTGTGCCACTGCAACACTAGCGAATGAATGCGGCTTGTGGTCTCCCTTCCGTCCATTAGTCGTGCAACAGACTTAATGTTCTGGCCTGGCGCCAGTCACGATTTGCAAACTGGGACAGAGCTATGAAATTACTTGGAGTGTACACAAATTGCAGGCATTATAAAGAATAAGAGAAAGAGGGAGACCCTTGCGAAAGCCACCCCTGAGGCAGCTATGTCCATGATGTCATGCCATGATGACATTATTCATTTGGGGGTACTCGTAATCGTATTCACATACGCACTCGCACTCGTACTCACTTGAATCGAGCTCAATAGTTGCCGCGGCGACTTCTTTTGTGTGTGCTGTGGCAAACTGCGATAATAATAAAAAAAAGTGATACAATCAAAAATACGGCGAATTCAAATTTCAATTCAAAATTACAATTAAAGTTTTATTAGCGAAAGCCAGAACCACAACATAAGCCCGGGCAAATCATAAAACTAGCTATAAAAAAGTGTTGTGTTTCTGAGTCAACATTTGAGTCAAAACTTTGTCCGGTTTTAATTAGATTTCACTCCCCTCTCTCCTACCCCCTGCCACCCCCTTGTTACATTCTTCGCGATAATTTGCAGAAATCTGAATTGTATTTTGTACGCATCCTGTCACAAGATTATTTATATATGTGACTATATTATACCAAAAAGTCAACTGCCCTTGAATCAATGACATAATTGGCATACTGAAACACATTCGTCACAACTCTTCTGATTATGACTGTGCCGGATTATATTATATAAGTAGGCATGCAGTATTTCCTCTCAAGTACATTATTTGTATCCATATATATATATATATATGTATATATATATATGTATTTATATATTATCAGAATACCACAACAAATATGAAATATTTTAAATATAATTTATCGTGTGGCAATCACATGTGGTTTATGCGTGTTTGGGGCCACCACAAACCACACCCAACCAGGCACTCGGCCAATTCCAGGGGCAATAAGTGGCTTCTATTGAATCATAGATGAGAGATAGAGTGAGAAAGAGAGAGCGAACAAGAGAGAGAGAGAGAGAGAGAGAGAGAGAGAGAGAAAGCAGTTGCCTAGTTGCTTAGTGATCAATTTGTTGTTTAATTGATTTTAAATTTGTTGAACTGCATCAGCTTTTTCTTTTCGATTGCCAGCGAATGCAAGTCTCGATTATACACTCAAAAAAATTAGAAAAAATATGTAAAATTTGCTGGGTGTTTGTGGTTTTCCATCTGTACACACAGAAGAAATCTCATATTAGCATTTCGTTAATTAAGTATTATTATTAAGCATCAGTATATAAAGATTTCACATATCCAAACATTTCACATAGTTTGTCATAAATTCATATAATCTAATTTGAAAAAACATAAGATTTGTTTGCGCATAGCAAATTTCATTAGTATTTTCTGCATATCAGAAGAAATTTCTTCTTCTATGAATCATAGTTTACATTGCTAGTTGCCTGTTTTCTGCATATGAGAAAGAATTTCTTCTAAGAATCATAATTTATATTTCATTAGAAAATATTTCTAAATATAGAAAAATCACGACATTTTTGGAATTATTGCAAACGTACTAATAGCTAGGGCAATTTTCGAAACTTCAGCGTGCTCGTTTCTTCAAGTGTAGATGTGTGATCAGTGGTTACATGTGAGGCAGAATCTTTGCCAACGATCGCTGGACAGGCTGAACCAGTTTTCAACGAGGCACGCGGTCAGTCAGTTTATAACAAATAACAAATACAGCTGCAATACTGCAAAGCCGAAAACCTCTAACAAACATACACACATACATAACAGACACACAACAGACACACACACACACAGAGAGAATGGAGCGCGTCACAATTCTGTGGCTGGTGGCGTCATCGTGCCTTCTAAAATCCACATATTCCAACAAACGTAGAGTAGTCTTCGCAGGCAGTCATCTAATTTTTATATGTTTTTCTGTTAATTTTCTGTCGTGTGTGTTTATTTCTATCCATTTAGTGCGAGAAGCAACAGTTTTTGGCACTATTATTTTTTTGGACAATCTATTCCACGCCGCTGGTTGACATCATCATCACCATCACCAGCATCGGCAGCAGCAAATAATGCTGAGAACTGTAATTAAAAGTGTGTTGCAATTATAATTCTAACTCATGATTTGCATTCCACGCGATTAACACTGAAGTGTTTCGTGTCTGGGGGCACACACTTCACGGATTGACGGATTGGCGGATTGTTGTGATGAATCACAGAGTTTATCTGTGAATGTCTCACGCAAATCCAAGCGAATCGTGCACTTTTTTCTTGGCAATTGTATTTGAATGATAGCCGTAGTTAATGTGCCGCTCTAGAATGGCGCTATGATTTATTTTCGAATCGCATTAACGATGACATCATCAACATCGGCAACAACATCATCATCAGTCAGAGACTGATTTGCCTCAAGTGGATTTTGCACAAATGAAATTGAAATTGAAATTGTTTTGTTCGCTATTGCTGCAATATTTTGCAAGATGCCGACAACACCCAAAAAATACAAAGAAGAGAAGCGAGAACGCCTCAATTGAAGGAGGTCGAGGTGAAATTCATCAAGTAGCTAAAAGCACACTCACAATATATACACACTATATGTATACATATATACATGATCTTGTATAGACTGTGGGGTGCGCTTCTAATCATGGCAATGCTTGCCTCACTCTGTGACGCCTGAGCAGGAATATATATACATACTTAGACTTCTGCTATATACAGACAGGGAGACAGAGAGAGAGAGAGACAAACGAAGACGTGACCGGTCTTATTCAGAGACGAATAACAAAATGTATGATTATATAAACGACTATATATATTATATATATATATATAAGTGAAGTTTTTGTGTGCAAAAGATTCGCTCACTCATCCAATTGAGTTGGGTCTGGGCACGTAATTAAGTTTAATTTAATACAACTTAAATCAAATTCAATTTAGCTCGATGAATATGAACCTGAACTAAAACCCCAACCAATGGGCTGGGTTAGGGGTTGTACTTCGCACTCGCACTCCCCGCAACCCTTTTGCCACCACCCTCCCCTTGTGGCATATACATCCAACCGTATTCCGTCATAGCATTAGGTCAGCTTCTGCTGTGACGTCAGTGCGGAAGAGGCGTGTGAGTGTGAATATTTGCAACTGCCGCTGTTACTGTTGCTATTGCTATTGCTGTTGCTGTTATAGCCCAGTTAACAACAAGAGTTAATAGAGGCGCGCTATAGGCTTCAATATGAAGTGAAATGCACAAAGCTGTTTTTCAGCTGTCGACCTGTTTGAGAATCATCGAAGCGTTGCCTATAAAATTTATTCAAAATGAGAGTTGGGCGCCGTTCAGAGCTGTTCACATCCGTTAATAACCAAGGGGCGGAAATTACTGAGGATGATATATAGAAATTTATTAAGTATACAAAAGAGTCGCCCGCCAGTCTCTTGTGTCTTTATTCCATTGTGGTATTTTTGGCTGGTGAAGCAATGCTTTTTGCTCTGTTCACTCAGCGACAGACAGACAGACAGACAGACAGACACAAAGTGTATGTAAATAAATGGGTCAATCGATAATGTTTTGTTTTGGTTTGGGTTTTGTGTGTTGAATAGGAAACTGTTGAGGAAAATGCGTCGACTTGTGAAGTGAAGTGCGGAAAACGACATTTGCAACGATAAGCCAGATCCGCTCCAGTTGCAACAATCGCCAGCTAAATAGTTGTGGCAGTTGTTTCCCAGTCTCCCAGTTTTCCAGTTGACCAGCACTTGACAACTTACAACGAACTTATGTATGTATTAAGTAGTGTGTAGGTACACTCAGAAAAAGGATCAAACTGAAGCCGAGTCAGATTCTATTCAATTTAGAAATTATTTGTATGAAGTTTACTTGTCCGGCTTTTATATTTAAGTTTCAAATTAAGTTGAGTTTTAGAGACACACTTTCTGAATAATAACGTGAGTTAACCTTGGCGAATTTCGAAATTTTGCTGAGTGTATTTGTGTATATATGTGTGTGATGTGCTCCGCTCAATTCTTTGGGTCTTCTCGTCGGGGGCTCTGCTCAATGGTGCTTGACTAATTGCCGGCCGTCAGTTTTGATCCGAGTGCAGCGACATCATGAAACATGACCACAATCTACAAGCTGAAGCAATGCAATTCAAACTTGCAACGCCTCCAGTTTAGGTGGCCAACGAACTCTGTGGCACGCACGCAGCCAGATTGTCGAACTCAATCAGACTCAGACCCAACCCACCCACAAATAGATGGCCTCACTCAAGCAGTAAACAAACCAAAATACACAGCTGCCTGTTTAGTCACATAAATCATAGAACTGCCTTCCTCCCATCCCCCTTCGACAACAACAACAAAAATCGATGCGACAACAAAATATAAATAGACAAAATAAATGCGAAAAGCGTTTTAGCTTTTGTGGAGCCAAAACGAAAAGCAAAAGCTGTTTTCTCTCCGATGGAAAATGCTGCCTTGTTCTGCGTTGATTTTTTCCACAGGGGGAATGAGTCGAAAATAGCATAGTCAAGTGCGAGGGGAGCATCTATTTTGAAGTAGCTTTTTGGGGATCGTCTCGCTAATCTTCACAAACGAGCAGACAGGCGGGCTTTAAATGTCAACTGGAAACTGGGTGCACTCAGCAAAAATGTGTAATGTTTGTGTGAAGCCTACATAATAATAATATTAAGAATTCTTCACACATAGAATTTAGACAAATTAAATATGAAATGAAATTAAGAAATGCAAAGCCTGGTTTTTAGAAAGTGAGAACCTTCAGTTTTAGAAATGAACTCGCTGAATAATAATCCTAAAACTCAGAGTCTCATTTGTTGTGCTGAGTGTAGAAACTTGCCTCGATCTGTTGCAGTGGCCCAAATTTCCAGTTTACGAGCTTGCCTAAGCCTAACTTTGGCTAAGAGAGAGGCTCGCTCTTTCTTCAGCGCTCTCTTCTAATGCCTCTGCCTCTCGCTCAGAGACACACCTTATTCTCCTCCGCTCCCGCCTTGCCACTGGCCCAGTCTCTGTTTGTGCCTCTGTTGAATTCAGGTTTTTCACCGAGTTTTTCACGTTTGTGTTGCGTGTTGCGTGTAGTTAATTCGTTTACGAAGCTCTAAGTTTCTGTTGCCAGCTTTTTGCTCTCCACAGTTTATTATAATTTTGTGTTGTACAGTTATTAGCAGCATTTGCTTTGCTCGTTTGCTTTATTTGTTTGTCTGCTGTGTGGCCAATTTCTTTGGCTTTGGCTTTGGCTTTGGAAATAACCGGTTTCTTCTAAGCAAGTTCTCTTCTCTTAAGCCACATTTTCTTGGCTCAGCAGGCTTTTATTGTATTTTAGTCTTGCTTCAATCGCTGGTTTAGCTCGATTTGGGTCAAATTTTCTGTCCACGTCCGCGTCTCTGCTTTCTACCAGCTTTTCCGTTCCGCTTGTGAAAATCCGTTAAGGTTGTCTCTTGTCTTCTTCTTCTTCTTCTTCGTGTTCTCCTTGTTGTCGTCGCTGATGACGCATTGAGAAGGTTACTAACTACTGATTATGTGATTATTGTCACGATAGTCATTCATAACTCATTGTTGCCCTCCAATATATACTTGCACTAGAATCTTATCATACTAAGTTCGAATATTCTCCATGTGTGCGTGTGTGTGTGAGTAATTTGTCCCTTATCACAGCAACACTGTTTTCACACAGTTACTCTAGCATACAATGGTGCAAAAGCTTTACGATTTCCTTTTGATATACATAATGACAATACAAAAAAAGCACACTCAGAAAAAGAAATTGCGCTGAATTATGGTGTTTTTTTTTGCTTTTAGAATTCTCAGTTGAAGTTAATTTGGAAGAGAAAGAAAAGAAATCGACTATTTCAAAAAAGTGGTGTTTTTATTAATGTTTATAAATATTTTCTAGTATTGCGAAATGCATTTCTAAAAAGTGGAAATGCAAAACTTTACTTTTATATTGAAATTTAGCTGTTGCTAAGCCAGACAACTATAAGCTAATAAATCTTCTAAATAAATAATAATAAGCAACAAGAAAAGCTAATTTTCGAGTTGCTACTCTGAACATGATACATTTTTTATACAAATACTTTTTTCTTGTGTGTGAGTGCACAAAGAGTTGGTTGTCGTCGATGGTGTTGATAAGGAAATAACCTGCTCAACGATCAATTTGCACCGGCAGCTGTCCAAGTCTATTTTTGTGCCTGTGACGTTTTCAGCGCTTTCGTTTGTCGCCCCACAATCAAAGCAATCTTTGACAGCGAATTCCACAAATTGCGCTGTTCTTAATTCTCGTATCCAAACAAAACATATATATATATAACTATACATAAATGTATACGTATTTCACTGTCACAATGGGTTGTAATTGAAGTTTGAATTACTTGCACAAAAGTACAAACATATAATTGTATATATATACATATATTTTGTATCTGTATCTGTATCCGATCTCTTGGCATGTGTTGAATGTTTTGAATGTGTTTTGTTTCCTTGACTACGCGCCAGAAAGAAAGAAAACACAAAATGCGAAACAACTGAGAAAAACACAAAACTCGACTAAAAAAGGGGTGGCAGAAGAAGAAGAAACAGCAGAAAACAATGTGGGCCGCCTTTAACACGTAAAGTCGCAAATGCATTGCACACAGAGCGAAAGAAAGAGAGAAAATCAAAGAAATACGTACAAGAAAATTAAAAAAAAGATACATTCAAAGCGACGACGAAGCTTGGCCAAAAAGCGACAACGTCAAAACGTTAGCGCTCTCTCACTCGCTCTGCCAGTCTCCGTCACTGGCTCTCTCTTAATTTAGAGAGTGGTGAATATTTGTTCGTTCATGTGTGAGCGTATAGCTTTTATGTGCTCATATGTGTGTGTTGTGTGTGAGTGCGGGAGCTATGAAGTCATACTGTTCTTACTGTTGTGTGTGTGTGTGTGTATGTCAAAAGCATAAAATGAGTAGGAGATGGAAAAAGGAGAAGGCAACCAAAAAACTCTGACCACAGCCCAAAAAAAATAATAAAAATGACGAGCTTTTGCCTGTGTGTGTGTGAGCAGATAAATGGCGCGACTTCAAATTCGAGGTTGAAGCTGTAATTAAAGTTGAAACATCCGTTACTTACACGAGAGAGTAAATCAAAGCTCTGCTTTAAAATTCAATTCAAGTCAATAATCCAAAGGAAGCGTTGAATACTTTGCGGCGCTTTTGCTGTTGTTTTTTTCTTTCAGATTTCTTGTTGAATTTCGTTTCGTTTTTTGTTTTCACTTTTCACACAAAAGATTCTAGCTGATTTCGCACACACATCGAAACAAATTCTTGGCCACTTTTTTCTATTGAACACGAAAAAAGACAATTTGTTGTTGTTGTTGTTGTTGTCGTTGAATACCTGTTGAAAATGTACGTTGAGTGAGTAATTCAGAGAATGTGTGTGTGTGAGAGAAATAGAGAATGAATGAAAGGGGGAGAGTATGGTGGGGGAGGTGTGGGGAGGAACTAGGCGTGGGCGTGTGAAAACTGCACAGAACAAAGTCAGTAAAAATCACTATTTCTATTTTATTTATAAACACCGAGAGAATTGCGCGCGTTTTTCAGCAGCTGCTGGCTTTGATTTTTCTGGCAATTCTCTTGGCTGTTTTTCTTTCTTTTTTTTTGGCTTATTTGCTGCCAGTTGCCAGCGTTTGTTCAGCTTGTAACGTACCGTGTTAAAATATTCGAAATGCTACGCACGAAGAGCAAACTGGTACTGAGAGAAGTGTATATTTATAATTAAGGCGGCAGTCCAAAAAACAACCACTGCCCGCTTGAGAGAGAGAGAGAAAGTGACGTCACAGCCGCATCGCGTAACGATTAGGTGGCAACGCTCAACTCACCACAACACTCAACTGTTGAGTGAGCGCTGTTAACAGCTTGCATTCAAAAATAACAATTTGTATACTCTTTGCTAGTTTTAAATTTATTGCAATTCTCTTTTGCGATAGAAACTGGACTTCACGGAGAAGGGCTTTACGCCTAGGTGGCAACGCTCAACTCACCACAACTCTCAACTGTTGAGTGAGCGCAGTCAAAAGTTTGCATTCCGAAGATGCCAAAGCTCAACTCCACTCACCACTCAACTCTGGAAAGAGCGCGCTCAACAGTGTGCATTCAAAAATAGAAATGTTTATATTTCTTAGTTCGATTTATTTATCTTTTGCGATAGAGACAAGGCTTGAGGGAGAAGGGTTTCAATTTAACGTCCTTGCCGACATGTCGCATCTTGCGAAAATGAAAGAAATAGAAGTAATTGATGGCCACATCCTTCTTGATCAGCTCAAAACCGCAATCCTTCAGCAGGCGCACAAATTCTCTCACATCCTCGAAACGGGATTGTATCTCGGCAATGTATAGATTGCCATGCAGTTTGAGCACCCGATTCGCCTCCAGCAGATAATCGCCGAGATTGGTGCCCATCAGCGACAGACAAAAGACGGCCACATCGAGGGAGAGTGGTTGCAGTGGAGTCTTTGTAATGTTGCAGGAGATGATATCCGTTCGAGCTGCAACCAAATCCATGGAGTAAACCTTGTGCGGCACAGACTGAGCTAACTTGCCATCGCCACAACCAAAGTCACCAATGATGGCTGTCTTTGGCAGACGTTTGATCATCTTGATAATGCGCTCCAGCGGATTTGAAGGCCATTTCTGCACCTGCTGGCGATAACCAGCATGATAAGCCTCAAAAGCGCCCGAATCTGTGCTGAAAATTTTGTCCGCTTTTTTGCTGTGCGTCGTGTAAAGCTGCTCGTTGATGTAGCGAAAGCGGCCAGCAAACAGCTCAGACTGCAACTTGTTGGCCAGCTTGGCCTGTGGAGGTGCTGCCTCCGCCGCCTGCTCCTCCATGGCCTCCACTGCCGCCTTGACCAGTTCTGGTTTTAGTTTCAGCTTTTTTTGATTTTTATCCCTGTTTGGTTTCTGCTTTTCAATGCGTCCGCTTCTTGTCTTGTGCATGGCCCACATTTCGTCGTCTGCTTCATCGTCAGAGTAATCCGTTGGTGGTGGTGCCAGCGGTCCTCTGCCCATCTGAAAACCCGTCCTTAATCCTGAATCTTGCTTCACTTTTTTCGCCTTCGATTTTTTCTTCTTTAGTTTTTTGGCTATGTTGCCGGCAGCAGATTTTGCTCCATGCACCGACTTGAACTTGATGACTTCAGCGCCCATGTCCCAGGCGGGCACCTCAAATGCCATTATTATATTAGTTTAATTTATATTCTTTCCAGTTGAAGCAAAACAAAATTTGAGTAACACGTGAAAAACTATATTATTGTTGTCAGTGTGACCGTGCTGTGTTAGGTAAAAAATATACCCAACAGCAAACAGCTGTTTTACTGAACGAGCTGCCAACTTGTCGCCAAAAAGGAGCGCGCTTTTCAAAACAAAGTATAAGCAAAAACCACAAATGCTAATAGCTTTGGTTTTACATTTGAATAAAAATATTGAAAGTTGAAGCGCAACCAAAATTTGAGCAACAAGTGAAAATTCATGTCGTTGTAGCCAGTGTGACCAGTAGTAAGCAATAAAATATGCGTAACAGCAAGCTGTTTGCTGTCTTACTAAAGGGGCTGCCAACTTTTCGCCAAAAAGGGGCGCACTTTTCAAAATAAATAGGCGCGAATGTCTTTGAAATACGTTTTATTCTTTTTTTGCACTAAACTAAAGTTCAACAAGTTTTTGTATGTTTTGTATTAATTTATAATTTTCGGTTTCTTGCTATTTACGTACAACTAATTAACTTAAAACATATATTTTTTTTTACAACTGAAGAGAATAGGGGTTGTGCTGCTTGCTGCTCGGGAAAATTGATCTCTTAGGCTAAAATCGTAAATATGACAATCAGTTTTCAGTTTTTGATTTTATTTTTTGTTTCTTGCTTGAAATGCATGCATTTTTTTTATATCAATGTGTGTGCTTGAATTTTGTTCATTATTTAGAAAATTCTTAATAATCTATTTTGTTTCCCAACAAACCGTCGTGTTGCATGCAACACACACAATTTTCAACTCTCACATTTATTGGATTAAATTAAATGAATTAAATCCAATCCAATTGAATGCAATATTCCGCTTTACATTTAACGACTACAAAACACTTGCGATTTACAATTGCTAAAAACTATTGAAATTTATGTTTTTTTTTTTTTTAGTTTCTAGTTGATTTACGATTAAAATAATGCATTCGCCATTTGACTTTTTCTCTCTTTTCCTCCACTTTCGACTCTCTTTCTCCTGTTCTGCTTTGCGATCCATTTGAAACTAGAAAATAGTATTATTATTTTGTTTTCTTTGTGAGCGCTCTACACAAAAATCTCTATAATTAATTGCGTATGCATAATTCAATAAAGTTAGGCATACAAAATTTAAAGCATTTTTTCTTTGTAATACAAAAATATAATTACAACGGAATAATTGGGTAGACTGTGCGACTTAACTCGTTAAATATACATAGTCATATATTATACATACATATATTTTGTTATTATTATTATTATTATTATTATTACATCTCTAGTTTGGTTTTGGCAAAGAATGGAAAAATGGGGCGCGGGCCGACTAAGAATCTCTTTTTGCTTTCATATTTGTTTTTGTTTTGCTCTAAGTAGCTCTCAAAATTGTTTTGCTGACTGCTAATTGCTTAATTTTTTTTCCTTTTTTTGTTTTGTTTTTCTTTAAATCTAGTTTAGCTTATGGCCTACGAGTAATTCAATTACAATTACAGTTAGTAGTTGACGACGCCGCCCGACTGCAAGCATTTAAAATTTATTTTGTGTGTGTGTTGTGTGTGTTATGTGTTGTGTCTGTGGGTGTGTGTATCTGTTGTATTTTTTTTAATATTACAGGTAGCGCCTAGTAACTGGCCTCGTGACCGGCTAAAATGTACAGATCGTGTCCCTCCTCGCTGCCCAGCGATCCAGTTCGCAGCAGTTGACTCTCCAAAGCGACGACCCTAGAATAATGCATAAAAAGGATGCATATTAATCAAATATATGAAGTCAATAAGAATGCTCTAGTCGAGAGTGCTCGACTTTTAAGATGTTTTCTATTCTAATCTTTGGTTGAATCTCCTTCAACAAATTTCCATATATGTAAATAGCTATTGATATGATGTATTACTCACTTATCGCTGCCCAGCAGCCGATAGGTGCGACTCATGTCCTTGATCTCCTGCGTGATCTCGCCGTTGCGCAGAGACTTGCCCTGCATGCCGTGCTTGTGGAATGCTAATACACTGTCCGGTAGACAAACTGCAATGATTGATTGAACACAGATTGAGTGATTGATGTGGATAGGTAGATGTGGGCGTGGCATACCAATACTGTCCACGTTGAAGTCAAAGTTGAGTTGGGCGACCATCTTCTTGTGCTGCTTGGGATTGCCCTGGAGCGTGACCACCTGCATCACATTGCCGTAGCAGACGAGAATGGCGTCCTTCTCCACCTGATGCACACGCACCACCTTCAACAGATCGCGTCGTGGCACCATCGTGGCCATGCCATCGTATTCCAAATCCTCCGAGTGGAACCAGCTGGCACCTGTAAAGCAGAAGGGTTAATTAAACTGATTGATTGATTGGTTGATTGACCACTCACTGTTCATGTTGATGAGCTCGAGCTTGAGGCAGCCGTTTACGGATTTGCGCACGCCCGTGCACACAATCGGGTACTCCAGCTCCGGCGTGATGATCATCTCAAAGACGGGCGTCTGTCCGTTTTGGACACAACCATGTCCACCTCCGAGGATGCTGATGGCCGGCCACTCGCACTGCTTGAGGAGCATGAATTTGTTGAGCGGATCGTACCACTGCATGAGGAAGATGCCCGTCGGCGTCGCTCCGCACAGATACTTGTAGCCGTTGTACGGATTCCGGGTGACGCAGCACTGCGTGCAACCCTTTGTGTCCGGCACCTTTGTGGTCAGCGCGAACTTGCGCGGCACCAGCCGCTCCGGTATCTTGTTCATGTGCAGCGAGAAGCGCACCGTCTGCTTGGAGTGCAGGGCGACCAGATCGTGGCGATAGAGTTGACACGATTTGCCCGACAGGCTCATCAGCACATCCTTGATGACATACAGCCAGGTGGTGCGTCGCGGGAACAGCTGATCGATTGCCGCATCATGCAATTCATTCATATTTAGGTTATAGATGCCCTCCTCGGCGCCGATCAACAGATGCTGATCCCGAGTCTCTGGGTGGATCCACGAGGCGGTGCAGTGCACCCGCAAGGGGCAGCCATTGAAGATCTTGGAGAAGCAGGCGCCCATGTGCACCTTGGGCGTCGGTGGCAGCCCATTCGAGATGGGCCTCGGTGGCGTGTGGCGACGCCGATGCGAACGCTTCGGCGGCACAGGCGGCGTATTGTTCAACAGATCCGGTTGCGCCTCCTTCTCCACTGCAATCGAGATAAGAAGTTGAGTTACTAATCGTCGTGTCGAAGAAGGGATTATGAAAGGAGTACGGAATCGAAGGGTATATTATATTATATGTATATTCTCAATATTTATTTAGTTATATTACAAGTATATTATATTATATGTATTTTATATTATATGTTTTTTATATTATCTGTCTAATAGACTCACCCTCATCGTCGTCCTGGGCACCGCCGTCGCTGAGGCTGCGCGTCCGCGACGACTTGCCCATGTCGTTAAGCAGTCCGATTAGCTGATCCATGGAGCTGTGCCGACGCGGCGAATCCTCGATTCCATTCTGCATGGGTTGAGGCAAAAGGTTTAAATATGGATCTGAATTGAGTTATTCTGAAGCTCCAAAACTCACCTGGTTGCTCTCGTTTCGGTAATCACAGTTGCTGTTCTCGCTGCCCGTCACATCGTCGATGTCAGCGCTGCTCCGCAGCAGATTCTGGTAGAGATGCGTTGAGCTGCTCGCAGCTGGGCCACTCGCAGCAGAAGCCGCCAATGCAGATGAAGATGCTGCTGCTGCCGCTGCTGCGGCTGCCGCGGAGCTGGTGGAGGCGCCACAATTGGAATGCAAGTAGCCATCGCCTGCCGATGGAGGAGTTGGAGCTGGATTGACCGTGGCAGTGGGCTCGTGCTTGTCCAGGCCATTGCTGCCCTTGCCGCAGACTGCATCGCCGCTGCAATTATCGAGGAGTAGGAGGCGATTATAAAACGAGGCTGAAGACGCTGCTGCTGCTGCTGCTGCCGCCGCTGCTGCTGCTGTTGTTGTTGATATTGCTGCTGAAGTTGCTGCCGCTGTTGAAGTGGAGCTGTTGCTGTTGTGGATGAGCGAGGAGGAGGAGGTGGAGGAGAGCCCATGAGCATGGTCAGCAGCAGCAGGTGCGTGCGTTGAGGAGACCGCAGCTGCCGCCGAGCGATAATTGCTGCTGTGGCGCAAATAATGCGCAGCGGAGGCGGAACAAGAAGATGAGCCGGCAGCAGCAGCAGTGGCAGCAGCAGCAGCAGCAACAGTTGGTGCTGCATTATTCATGGCAATGTCAACGTCCAGTAATGTCGAAAGATCGTCATCATCGCCGATGCTGGTGGTGCGCAAATTGGATAGCCCCAAATAGGCGCTCAGACCCGGCATTGAGGCGAGCGAGAGCGATGCAGACATGCTCATCGAATTGAAATTTGAATTGGAGTTGGTATTGGAATTGGAGTTGGTTGCTGCCGTGGCTAAGGCGCTGCTGGTGCTGGACGTTGTCAGTGGTTGCTGGTGGTGGTTAAGGTGCTGCTGCTGCTGCTGCTGCAGTTGCTGGTGGTGCTGATGGTGCTGATTGTGATTGTGCTGGTTGGCTGTGCCAGACGACTGATGCTGATGTTGATGCTGTTGTTGTTGTTGTTGATGTTGATGTTGTTGCTGATGATGCGTTTGCTGATAATTATGATAATGATGTTGTTGCTGTTGGTAGTGATGATGGCCTCCACCGTTGCCGCTGCTGCTGCCACCGCCCCCGCCGCCGTAGCCCCCATTTGTTGCTGCACCGCCCCCGTCGCCGCCAGCGCTGCTGCTGCCGCCGCCGCCTCCACCGACGCAGCTGCATTCGGCACTGAGTGCCGTTTCTTTGGTGTCATTCAATGGCAAGGTTGCTCTAAGAGCGAACACACAGCGATAGACCAGTAGAAAGAGTGACAGAGAGCGAGAGAGAGAGCGGGAGAGAGAGAGAGCGAGAGAGAGAGAGAAAAAGAAAGCCAAAGTTTTTGAGCTTCTTTGTTTGATAAAAAAACGCACAACATTCAATTGTTGTTGGTGTTTTGGGATCTGTTGTTGTTGTTGTTGTTGGTGCAGCTTGTAACTGGACAAGTGGTGTCAAGGGGTAGTGGGTGGTTGGGTGTGGGGTGGCTGATTAGTTACATTAACCCAGCTATTAGGAGTGTGGTTAGTGTGTGTGTTTGCGCAGTCTGCACTCATTAAAGAAATCGCAATAAATTTTAGTAAATCGGCATCCTTTTGGCGCCAATGATAAAATGGCCAAATTATTCAGATGGTTAATTTCTAATAGTTATGATTGTGGCTTCTCTAAAAACCACACAAAAAACAGGCAGTAAATTTCTTTACTTGTTACTGAATTTTAGAAAGTATTTGTCTTAGAAATATGAATTTGATTTTCTCGTCTTTAAGAATGCGTTTGCTTATTGATTATAGAATGTATTTCGAAAATATACAAAAAGTCGTCATATTTTTTGATTTGTTGATTTACGGGCAGCCTTTCTAAATTATAAATTTTGTTCTTCTAATATTTAGAAATGATTTCTAAAACCAGAAACACTCTCTCTTTATTATGCCGATTTATTAAAATTTAGAGCGATTTCATCGAGTGTGTGTGATACTCTGGGTGAATAACCAATCTCTAAGACTACTCGGCTGCTGTTGTTGTTATTGTTGTTAGTGTGTGCAAAACATGCATTCAAATTTGGCTGGGACTAAGGGCGGCAGAGCACGCCCCACAGCTCAGCCTAAAGGGGGAGGGGCAACCACTTGTGCCTTATGTTGTTGCACATTTTGATGGGTAAACGCAATATATATTTAAATAAATAAGTTAATGCAAAGGGAATAAATTATGCATGAGATGCAAAAACTGTTTACACAACCAAAAACACAAGTACCAATCAAACACACACACACACACATATATACGCATGCAAATATACACACACACACAATAGAATATTGCCAGGAACAACCGAAAAACAAATAGCAAAACGGAAAACGGAAAATAGAAAACAGAGAACAGGAAACAGAGCACCAAACATGAAGAAAATGCTGTAAAATTAGTTCTTACAAAATAAACACCAGCAATTTGCACAAACAATATGAAAATTGAGACAAACGCACAGAAAATGTAGCAGCAAACAAACAAAACTACAAAGTTGAGTGCAGAAAACTCGCAACAGCGCTGCTGGCATGGGAAAACTCCATTTTCATTTGCAAATTAGTTTTTCAAACTGTCTGTCTGCCTGCTGGCATAATTGCACTTTGCTCCGCCCTTGGCATATACGCAAAATGCCACAGATCAATTCTTCAATTAACTGCCAAGTTGAGATTATTGTATCGAGAGCTGCGAACTGTTTATGTTTTTATTTGTTTTCCGGAATTTTGGCAAATAGCAAAGTTATGCTTGTGCGCATATTTTAAGAAGCTTTCAGCTCGATTCAATAAAATGCCGCTCCAGGCAAATGGAAGCGGCTAACAGCTTAGAGCACAGCTCAATATGGTTTGTATTGCCGCAGAATAATCTCACAAAAAATTGCTCATTATTTGGTTTGTTTACGACAGATACACACATATATATAGATATATATGTATATATATAGCAAATAGGAACCAATCAAATAAATAAACTAAGCAAACAACGGCATTATTGGCGCTAGTTAGCAGCAGCAGTGCCAATAATAATAATAACTATAAAAACAATGTGCCGACTCTGCCATTTGCACATACATCAAATTGAAAAAGGGTCCGAACGAACGGACTCCAGACTGTCTGTCTGTCTGTCGGACGGATGGACGGACGGACGGAGGACTGGCAAAGGAATGACCTGCCCAATTTCATTTTGTATAAATTAGTAAAGATTTGCTGGGGGCTCTCAAGGTGCTCTCATAATTTCATTGTGCCTGCATAATTTAGATATGCTTTCGCACAAGGTGCGTATACGTATTGTGTGCATGATACAAAGGAGCGTATACGCATACTAAAATGCTAAAAATTTTCGAGTCAGGTACATACTGCAAAAGACAAAGAACGCAAAAGACAAAAGAGTGCACAATATGAAAGAACTAACAAAGAAGAAACAGAAACAGTCAAAGACAGAAACAGTTGTGGAGAAGGCAGTGACTGCATAGAACTTTAAAGAATACAAAGTAAAAGTTAAATAATGGGAAAGGTGCGCTCATTGGATAATAAACTGAGCAAGCCAGCCGACAACAGCTGGCGATATTACACATTCAGAAAAACAAATCACACTGAATTTTAGAAATTGGCCAAGAAATTTAAGATGTGTCTTTCTTGTATTTCTAAATTTCAGAGAGGATTTTTCTAAAATTTACAAAGAATATGTCTAATAGAAGAATTCTTATATCTTATAAAACTAGAAAATCTTTCCAGTTTTCAGGACGATTGTTTTTTCCGAGTGTATAATGGAAGTATAAAGAATAATAGTGTATGCTTGGCCATGGCTAATGAGTATAATATATGGCACAATATTGTGTGAGCCGGTAAACGTGAAGCAGCTGCTGACTGCCAGTTTGCAGTAGTTGTGTCTACGAAACTGCACCCATTAGTTCAACATTTATATTTTAAGTATATGTATATATATATATGTGTTTATAGTGAGGTGGTTTGGAGGTAGGCTGTGTTAGATGTTGTTATTGAGGGTTGTGTTTCAGGTGTTTGCCCAGCTACGTCTAAGTTTTATTGAAATCGTTTCGCAAAAGAAATTATTGTTGGTGTAATTACCTTAACTTTAGCTCCTCATCAATATACTGTAAGAGGCTCCTACAAAAATCAAACACAAAAAATATACGAAAAGAAAACGAAAATAAAAAATTGTTGTTAAGATTTCAGTAGAAATTAAAAATAAAAAAAATTGTAATACATTAAAACAGTTTGTAAATTAATTCAAATCCAAATACAAATCATTTGAAAATCAAACAAACAACAAAGAAACAACTAAAACTACTGCCAAACAACTGGTTTCAAAATCTGTAACAAAATGCGAGCAATTTTCTTGCCAAACATGCATAATTTAAATGAAAAATTAACGTAAAAATCAGTTAGCTGTAAGCAAAGATGCTGTTACGTCCAATTAAACACATAAGCCAATTTTCAAAGGCCATAATTTGTTTAATATCATTTTTTCCAGCACAACCCAAAAAAGGAGAAAAAACAACGCTCTATTAAAAAGTAGCAGTAAAAAAATAATGCGAAAAGAATTGGCCATGTTCGGTGTGCTTTTGGCATTAATGATGTTTATTGTTTTTTGTTTTTTGCTGCCTTTCTGCTTTTTGCTGCTGTTGTTGTTGTTCTTGTTTTCGGATTGCTTTCAGCGTCTGCCAAAAAGTCCCAAGGAAAAACATTAGGAAATATGTCGCAAGAGCCTCGAAAAAGGATAAAAAAAGCTGCCGTCAAAAACTTTTTGGGCGCCAGCCGCGTGGGCGTGGCACTTGGCCAATATACTTGCCACTTTCGCTCTTTAATGGGGAAGGGGGGGGGGGGGGTGGGGAAAGGGGTTGGTGGGGTGGTGGTGTAAGCGCTTGGTACAAGTACATAAAAGTAGACGCTGTCGATTTTTATGGCATCAATAAAAGCAAGCAAACACAGCGAAGCAAATATGTGGGGCAGGCACGAAGAAGGGGTTGTTGGTGCTGCATGTGGCAAGGCGGCAAGAGACAACATATATTTGCCTACACCCTGCCCCAATGCGTCTGTGTGTGTGTGTGTGTAGCGAAACAATGTAATCATTTTAAATGACAAATAGCTCGCATTATGGCAGCTGTGCTACCAACATCGAGTTACGGGGCGTATGTGTGATGCGTATTAATTTCTTATTGATTTTCTTCTCTTTTTTTTGGTGGAGCGTGCTATACGTGTCTCTGGTGTATTTGTGTATAGATGAGAGTGTGTGTGTGTGTGTGTGTTTTTTTTATTTCAATTTGGTTGCGCTCTACTGCTGCTCATTATTTTATAGCATACTTTTGTGCGGCAGCCTTGTGAAATTCAGGTAGTAATTACTTTTCGCGAAGTTGCAAGCTGTAAGTTTCATGCTGCCAGCACGTAGCGCTAACTAAACACAACTTCAACGGTAAATGCGTGCAACAATAATGTAGCAAGAGCGAACACAAGTCTGCGAAACGTGCAGCTGCTTTGGCAATTTCGCCAGCACGATCTGTGCGAGACTAAGCAAATTACATGATGCGCGTGCTTGCCACAACATCGTGCCACATATGCCGCCCCAGAAAAATGTAGCTGCAGTTTCAAGCAAGCGCAGTCCAAGGCACTTGCAGCCACTTAGAAGCAATGGGCGCATCAACAAACCAAATTCGCAAGCGGCAAACACAAAAATTCGATTACATTGCGAAATGCAGCCAAAAAAAAAGAGCAGCAGCTAAATAGGTAAAAACAGATAAATTTGGAGGCGCCTCTAACCGTAAGGACATGTTCATAATGAAAGTGCTGCTGTGCCTTGGTCGGCCCACGCTCGGACTAGAAGTAAAAACAGATATAGAGAGCGTTACGCAATATACACTGTAAGAAAATGTGGCAGACACATAATGAGTGCAACACATACAGTCAGCTAAAAAATTGAACTCAATTGACGAGGGTTTATCTTTTCTTAATCTCAGATTATATATATGTCTTAAAGTTAGAGCAATTTCTCATGATACTTTCAGCCAGTATTTAGAAAGAAAGAAACTTTCTAGTTTTTAGAACGATTTTCTGAAATTGAAGTCGATTTTTCTATTCTGACTGTTGGCAAGTTGGCTTAATTGATGAGCAGCACGTGTATCTCTGAGTGTGTGTGTGTTTGAGTGTGTGTGTGTGTGTATGAGGGTGTGTACCAATGATTGAATTGAACTGAATTGAAAACAAAACAAAAGCAGAAGCATTTATCAAATATGTAGAAAATACTGTAAGAAAAAAAACTGTAGCAAAGTTTCAGGCAACGCGGCTAAAGCGACTTCTTCAATCTTATTTATGTATAGGGTATATATATATATATATATATATATATGTCTATATATATAGATTTGTATGTGTATGTATGTGTTGGGCCAACTTACATGTCGCTGGGCAACGTCTCGGGACTAGAAGAACGCTCGTACCACGTTGAATTCGTCGTCATGCCTGTGTCAAAGAAAAGCCAAGCCAAAGGAAAATGTAATTAGCAGTGAATCCTTGTTTTGGCCACGTTGCCAGTTTTTGCCAACTGCGAAACTTGCCTGTTTTGAGCGTATGATTCTGGGCCGGAATGCCATTGGCACGCGACGTCATCTTGCTGGCAATTCGCTGCGGTACCCCGGCCACCGTCTGTGGCGTGACAGGAGGAGGATGAAAAAGAGTTTAGAAGATTAAGTTAGAGAGGGAGCTGAGCTGTGCTGAGCCATGGCCAGTGACAAAGTTTTCAGTTTGCGATAAAATCTCATAAATCAAAATCATATTCGAGCCATGCGTTACACTCAAAGCACGCGCTACGTTAAATTTGAATATATATATATATATATATTTGAATATATATATACTACTTATAATGCAACTTGATGGCAAACAGCAAAATAAGTAGCAGTCACCCAGGCCAGGCCAGGGAAAACTTTTGCACAAAAACATCCAAACAAATTGAGGATTTATGAGTTGCACGAATATTCTTGGGAAATGGCTTTTTAAATTTATCTTTTATTAAATTTGCATTTGTTAGACGACGATACGACGACACGACGACTTTGACGTCTAGACATCGCCATTAATGGATCACTCCCCTTCCCTTCCCTCCCCTTCTCACCCATCCACTATCCTTCGCCGTTTGTCTAAATTACGAGTAGTCTCCTTAAGTGATTCAATTGTCATCTTAGCAAATATCTTGCTTTTTACCTAGCCAGCAGTAGCTGAATTAAATACCATATTTGGCTAGATTTAAAAACTACGCCAACTATATGTATATATGGGCTGTACTTTGTGCCACAACAATGCTGGTTGTGGCCACCTTTAGGCAGCAGACACTCGGAGAAAAAGTCGCTCTAATTTTTAGTAAATCGCCAAAAAGTAAATTTTATTTTTCGACTACTCGATTAAAAGTCGTATTTTGGAAAGGTTTCTTGCTTTTCTACTTGACTATACTTACGCGATTGTTGATTTAGAACAAGCCTTTCAAATTTTACGAATTGTGTTTTCTAATATTTATAAATTATTCTAATTTTTAGGGCGCTTTATTACAATGGGGGTCGATATGTTTTTTGCGAGTGCACATTAAATGTGGCTCCAAGGTACCTAATGGCGTACTAAATCTTGAATTCTTGGGCAAAAATGGCAGCCAACTAAGTAAATAGAAGGAGGACCAGTCGCAGGACCAGTCACGGGCACAGGGAAAGTGGAGCAGCAACAGCCAAGCCAGCGAAGCAGCGCTAAGAGCGCAAATAAATTACAGCCAAGGTGGCAAGTGGCACACAAAGTGTGTCTAAGACGGGGTCCCAGGTGAGGGGGGGTTGCAAGTAGAAGTTGCGCTTACCTCCTCGTCGCCATCGAGATAGTAGTACTGCTGATTGGGACTCTGGTATTTCTGGAGCAGCTCCTTGGCCACACGCAACGGCATCTCGCTCTGGACAAAGGGATGCTGGAGCAGCCGCTCGGCGGTTGGTCGCTTCTTTGGGTTCTTTGTCAGGGCGGTCTTGATAAAATTGTGAAACGTCGGACTCCATTTGTCTTTGTTGCTCAGTGTCGGCGGCTTGAAGCCGCTCTTCGACATCAGGAACAGGGCGCGCATTGGATGCAAATCGAACATCGGCGGCTGCAGTTCAGCCAGTTCTGCAATATAATCAATAATTATCATATTAAATCATGTATATCGGTTGCGATAAGTAATACCAACCAATTGCCGTTATGCCGCAGGCCCAAATATCACAGAGTTGATTGTAGCCCCCTTTACGCTCCACGGCGGCCACCTCCGGCGCCATCCAGTACGGAGTGCCTGCGGAAAGCAACACAAATATATATTCATATTATTATTCATTATGCAATTTGTCTACTCTTTGATATACAATTCAAATTTATACAACCTATCGAAGAGAAGAGAGAGAAACTCACAAAATAAAACTCGTTCTGAAAACTCGAAAGGACTCAGGACATTGTAGACTAAGAAATCACCGAACCAAACTAGGTATTTATAGTAGCGAACTATGCAGGTTTTGTGAAAGCGAGAAAGAATCCTCAAGGCACATCCTAGCAGAGTGTGTCGCCCTAACAAGGAAAAGATGCAGATGAAATCGTAGCTTTTAGAAACATACTTCTGAATAATAAAGTGAGCTCAAGGTCAATTTTTCTCGGAGTGCAGTGTGGCAATCTGTGTCGACACAGCACCATAAGTTCCAAATTGGCAAACGTAATTGCATTTTCAATTGGATAAAGCCACAATGAAGGTGGTAAATAATATTTAATGCCTTGCTTTTCACATTGCCTTTGACTAGCAAGCGAAAATCTCGTGTGGCAAGCTGTCAATGGCAGTCGAGCACATTTCACATTCACAATTTAACACTCGCAGTGTGGCCACAGTTGTCACACAATTTAATTAAAAAATAAATCGAGAGATGCGAACACAAAGTGACAGTCATATTGTTAATTGGCGGGGCAGGGGCAGAAGATGGCAGCAAGAGTTGCACGACTAACAGATACCATATATACAATTCCAAATTAATCATATATGATTATGATTCAAGAGTATATATTGCATATTTAAGGTCTGCCAACTGCTGCCACAAATATTTCGCTTTATTGCCAAGTGCTCAAGAACAAAAGCTGTGACAATAAGGTGACAATGGTGATGATGATGACGATTGTGGCGCTAACTGTCATTTGTGGCAGCTGACTTTTAAATGATACTAAACACGAGTGTGCCACACTGAATTCTTATTTTTTATTAAATAATAAACAGCATCTGGCATTTGTTTTGCGCACTGTTTGCTGTTATCCTGTTATTGGCAGGGGTGTGAATCTTGGTGTGTGTCGTCTGTGCTTTATTTGTCTTGTTTGCGGTTTCATATGCAGACACATAGAATGATAGGCAGACAGGCAGACAGACAGACAGACAGACAGACAGACAGACAGACAGACAACGTTTGTGTGCTTATCACCACATTTGTCACAGCAGCAATGTCATATTGAGGAAGCAACGGCAGCACTCGAGATGATAACAGTAGTGTAAGCGATGTCACATTGTTTGCCAACTGCAGACACAAGCACAATTGCCAACCTAGACAATTGTCTGCAGCTTACATTCGTTGCCCCACACACACGCCAAACGACACACGACCCACCCACCCAACGACACCACACTGAACCAGCACACTTAAAAAATTGGAAATACGTCTTACTGTTGTCACTTAGGGGTAACTCAACTTATTATTCCCATAGTATATATGTAGAAACCAGCGTTTTTCTAAATTTTAGAAAAAGTATGTCTTATTTTCAAGCTGATTTTTTATATTATTAATAAACATTAGTATTTCAAGCAAATTTGAGATAGATAAAATATATAAAAGAGCCACTTCATTACTTGTATCTGAACTACAGAATGGATTCTCTCTAAAAAATTATACTTTTTAGAAGTGCATTTCTTAGCCTTTCTAATTTTTAAAAATGGTTTTTCTTATATATCGAAATTATTTCTAAAAACCAGAAAAACTTGCTAGTTTTCAAAAATCAGGACGATTTTTTCTGAGTGTAACCAGCCATCTGCTGACGCGACCGACCCTGCTTGTTGTCTATCATTTGCAGCGTGCACAAGTCCTGTTCCTGGATGCCTTCTGCTTTCTGCACTCGTTGGGGCGTTGTCGCTGCCACCGCAATTGACATGAGTGAGTAAAAATCACTAATTCGCAGCTTGAGAAAGTTGCAACAAAGTGGCAAGCAATCTAAAGTGTAACACGAGCGCAATGAACTCTCTCCTTCAAAAATATTATTGACTAACGTCGCTCATTTTATGGACGGAAGAGGGGGGAGTGGCAAGCATAAATATCAAATTGCGCACACAATTAGCGACAAATTGAATTGTTTTTTTTGGAGGTAACGAGCGAGAGAAGCGCTGTAAAATGACGAAAGTGCTGAGATTTTTACGACAGCCACCAAACGCATTAAAAACTAAACCAATCCTTGCATAAATCCGCCATCTAACCAAGCCGAGCCAAGCCAAGTCAACGGACATAAAAAGCGACTCGTCAGCTTCATCGTTGTCTTTTTATTGCAATCACAACTCAAATGTCGCCCACTTTATTGGCACATCTTGGAGCTGTCCTCATAACAAATGCCACATGGCTGTCAAATAGACGGCGTGGCCCCATCTCAACAACAATAGCAACAACGAGCAGCTGTCATAATTTAATTAACGCCCATCCTTAAAACTCTGATAAAGCAGAGGTTGCAACTTAAAAGTTTGCCTTAAGTGCACTCTAAAAACTAATTAACCGTTTGAGCCACGTATACCAAGCTGATTTACGATCCAGATTTGAAACGTCTATGCAAAGAGGTCACTTTATTAAACCAAGCCAATGTCTGCTCCTTGAAGCAGAGAGAACAGAGAGAAGCAAAGGAAAAGATAAGAGCACAAGTTTGTAGTATCTAGGCGAGAGTGCGTGAGCTTCTCTTGCATTAAGGTATATACTCTGCAAAAGGATATCGTCTGGAAACCAGAACCATTTTCTTGTTTACAGAAATCATTTATAGATATGATGAAATAAAAGTCTCAAATAAAAAGTGGAAGTGAAAGAACTGTAGAAACTTGGAAAATTGAACTCTTTTCGAAATAATAAGCTGAGTTACCTTTGGCGATAAAGGACGATTTTGTTTTCTGAGTGTTAGTTGAGGAAATTCCAGCAAAAGGAAAATGCCCGATTTAAAATCAATAGTGAAACAGTGAAAAAGCGCCACAGCTCGCTTTGACTGGCCATTATAAAAGGGCTGCGTGCCGAGAGATTGCATGTCTTCGTATAAAATGCAAATGACTGACAAGCAATGCCTGTGCCACATATCCAACCACGACTACTCCCTCCCCTGTCCCCCCACCCAATATTCCACAATTCCTGTGCTGCTGTTTGACTGATATGTTCGTATTTACATTTAAATTGCGTATACGACCCGCTGTGTGCCATTGACCCGAACTAAAAGCACTTCTTTGCTAGGACATATTAAAGACAGGTTTGGGTTTAAAGCATCGCAGCGGAAATCTATTAGTGCTGAGAAAAAAGTAGATACGAGTAGCAAAAACATACGTAGTGGCAGGCGCAGTCAGTGTGGCAAGAACACACACAAGAAATTGCACAAACAACGGCCATTTCGAGAACATTATTCTCTTTTGGGCTTAACTTGGCCAAGAACAAAAAAAAATAATAAAACAAAACGACAACTCGCACAGCGGGCGGCTTTCCAAATGCCCGAATCCCAATCCCCAATTCGCAATCCGCAACTGTCCACAACTCCACCTGCCCCAAAGCATCCGCTTTTCTCATGTCTGCATTTGATATTCTCTTGTAAATTGAATTGTTCGCATTCCTTTAAGTTCCCGCCTTCTCCCCCCATTTTCCATCGCTCCCTTTAACTCTTTCTCTACTTTTTTCTATAAGCCGTGGAAGCCTTATTATTATTCTTATTATTACTATTTGTATTTTGCTTTGCTGTTATTTAATTTTCGTTTTCCTGTTTCGCACCATTGCCAGCTTTTCATTCTGTTTTTCTTTTTTCGTTTTTCTTATTTCTGACAGCTGTTGTGCAAGTGTTTAAGAGCCTGAAAAGCAATTGCGGTAACTGTCAGAATCCGCTCAAAACAGAAAGACCTTTTCTTTTCTGTTCGTTCCTCCTGCTGACAGCTACACGCAATGATAAACACTTATGCCCAAAATCGATGGAGATGCTCTGACTGTCAGGGTGTCTGCGACTCGCACGAAACCGTTCTATCAATTTCATCTTTCGACCTAAACTCTTTGCTACAAAATACTTGTATTGTTTACTAAATGATCCCGCAATCGTTGGGTGCAGCTCAACACGGTCGATTAGTTTCTTTGCGAAACAATTGCAATTCCTTTCACAGCTTAAACTCTCTCTCCTTTGTCTAGTGACAAAATTTGCATAAATCCGGTGACAAGTACAGACAAGAGCGAGAGAATCTGTTGCAACAGTGTGGGGCGCATTGGTCTCAAGCCAATATTTAACAATTGCCAAGATACAACAGCAACAGAGAAGCGCGACACCATTGCAAACAACATTTCCATTTAAATATATAAATAAATACAAGTCTCGACTGTACTCAGCTGCTAAATATATTCAACTTTTAGTTGTCTAATTTCCCTTTAAAAAGTTCTGCACACCCAAATGTAAGCATGTTTGATAGTACGCTTTTTTCGGGTACATGTTTTTCTTATGAAATTTGTCGAATCGATCAATAATACGTCAATGTATATTATATATAGACAGACATGGATATATAGACTCGTCTATTGATTCTGATCAGGAATATATAAGCCGTTTGGTGTCGGAGTTGCTTTATTCTGCCTGCAGAAGAGCATTATAATCTTTTTAGCCATTTTCAATGTGTATAGGGTATAAAAACCAATGGGAAGCATATGTTTCAATGCATGTATTTTAATGTATTCATTCATTGTATTCATACAGATTGCTCCGCACTCACCTATGAAACTCTTGCGCTTGTTGATCGTGGCCGTTATTTGCGCTGAGACCCCAAAGTCGGCCAGCTTCACATCGCCATATTCGGTGAGCAGAATGTTGGCACCTTTGATGTCCCGATGCATCTTGCCCATGGAGTGCAGATACTCGAGTCCCTTCAGAGTCTCCCGACACATGTAGGCGATCTGGACCTCGGTGAGGGGACCGGTCACCTGATAGATATCCTGTAAGCTGCCACCGCCACAGAACTCCATGCATATCCACAATTTGTCGCGTCGCAGATAGGAGCCATAGTAGGCGATTATGTTGAGGTGCCGGCAGTCGCGCATCATAAAGATCTCCTGCTGGATGATCTGTATGTCGTCAGAGGGCTCAAGTTTGATCACTTTAATTGCGGCCAGCTCGTTGCTCTGTATGCGTTTCGCCTGTAAAAGGAAAAATAAATCATGCAAAAAAAAGGGTATTAATTAAAATGTTCTTCGTTCATCTATCAAGAAATATGCATCGACACAGAAAATAACTCGCTTCCCAATTCCGCACGTTTCCCACTTTCCCATTTTCCGGTTCGCAATTTTCCGATACCCGTTAACTGCTCATCTGCTGAATATTTTTGTTGTTGAATATTTGCACACCTGCCTGGGGGCTTTAACGCCATTGTTTGCCGTACAACTTCATTCATGCAAATATTTTTTTGTATTCTTACTCTAGCAACCACAAAGCCCCCTTATTTCCATAAAACAATGCATATTCTATAAAAGGCAGTGGCTGACTGAATGTATGAATGGATGGATCGTCTAGTAAGCTGCCAACGCGTAGCAAGAATATTAATATTCACTACTCGATGGCAGCAGTCTTCAATGCAATTAAATTGCTTCTTGACCTACTTAATGCACTGAAAAAATTGTTATCCATCACTCAGAAAAAGGAAAGGAATTGGCCTTTATTGTTTTTAAGAAATAATATCTACACATAAGAACATTTCTAAAATATAGAAATATACTTTCTGACTAATAAGGGGTGGTACCCTTTTTAGAATACAGTGCGATATTTTTCTGACTGCATACATTTTGTTTGCAGCATGCAAAGTGAATCTGTAGCTGATCCTGAATAGGATTGATGGCCTTATTTGTTCAGTTGCTTGAGTAGTCTTAGCTATACATAGAAAGGTGTATATATTTGTTAGAGTATGCCACATTCAGTTGGGGTTCTTTGTTGAGTGTTCTTTCTGTCGCCTTAATTGCGCTCAATTGTCGCTTAAATAGGTTTAACCTTTGCACTTCGTCAATGATTTGCAACTGAGAATGAGGGCTAGGCTAGGTTAGGCTAGCTAGAAATGTGTTTACACAGATGTATTTTCTTTTCACCTCCATTTGGGATTATTGCGTACTATGACAGCTGACCTGTCTGTCCGACTGTCTGTCTGTCTATCTATCTGTCCGTCTGCCTGTTTGTCTCTCTGCAATTCACTTAAAAGCCGCGTCTGCCTTCCAGTTCGTCAGTTTTATTTAGTTTATGGCTTTCTACCTGCAGCAGTCGCTGAACGCTTTCGACCACATTTTCGTTAGCCAAACAAATGGCTGCCTGGCCAGGCATGGGCATGCTCTGTAGCCAGACGCCATGGAAGGCACACAAGTTGCTTTTGCTCGCCTTCACCCCCACAATGCATGTATCCACCTGGTGGCTCAACTGTTTGTCCTTAAGGCTGAGTTGGTGGCTGCACGTGTACATGAATCCACCATTTATCCCAGCATCATGTGCTTTATTTGTATACCCTGAATCCATTGAAAAAGGCTACAAAGGGTATACTGGTTTTGTGCTCAATAATGTAGCAGGTAGAAAGAAGTAACTCCAATTCCATAAGGCATATATATTCTTGATCTACATCAACAGACAAGTCGATATAGCCATGGCCGTCTGTTCATCTCAGAGACTATAAGAGCTATAGACTTAAAATTCGGAATATAACTTCTCGTATACCCCGCGCAGATCAATTTTATTGATAACTGCACCATCTTCGCGAATATCGATACATTTCGATTTCCGATAGCAATAACTGTCACAATTTTAAAGGCAGAGTTTTCTGATTGATTTATAAAATACATTGACATATTATTGATAAACTGAACAAGTTTCAAAAAGATTGAAAAATAAACACCCAAGTTATAGTCGGAAACGTATTCACGGCTGCTTACTGAGGCAATTGGGCAATAAAACTAGAATATATTTAAAAACTGGATGTAGGGTATGTCCCAGTCGAGCTCACTCGACTACACCACCATTCTGACGTGCTCTCTCTGAGCAGTTGCGCAGCTTCAATATTTTTTCTGCGCCGAGTTTTTATTTTATTTTCGTTGCATTTATTATTCAATGCGGCAGAGGGGGCTGTGGGAGGCATGCTTCTGCTGTGTGTAGCTGTATGTATGTGTGTCTGCGTGCGTGTGTGTGTCTATGTTTTAGAAATGATATCTTGCTAGCTTTAATGAAGATAAAGCGACTTTTATTGCTGTGCTCGCTGTTTGCTGTTGTTGCAGGCTCGTTTGGGTTTACTTCTTGTTTTCATTTTTCCCCCTCCAATTTTGGACGACGCCTGCATTTTACATGTCTTATTACAGTTGATGTTGCAGCAGGAGCAGCAGTAGCAGCTGCAAACGGCTGGAGGCAGTAGCATCATCATAAATTGAACAGCAATCCCAAAAGCAATGCAAGCAATCTCTGCGTATACGTAATATTTTGCAGCACATGAGCAGAGCTGTGGCGATGACAGCCAGCAACTTTTCGCAACATCAACGAGCTCATCTGTCCGTCCACCCGTCCATCCGACTGTCTATCTGTCCGTCAGGGTGGGGGAGAGTCCAAGGACATCCAAGCGTCGACTCGGCTTTAACGTCTCTTTCTCATCTTGTTTATGGTAAATAAATTATGCGTGATTTTTAGCCAACTTCTGCAACGCTGAACAGACGAGAATGAAATGCCAAAGAAGACGTTGCTGCTGCCGTAAGCATAAAAAGCAACTGATATGGCGAAGACACTATAGTAGCAAGGATAACAGCACGTCCCGGTGTGGAGAGCTGCACAAGTAGCGAGCAGGAAACGAGCGCACCACATCCTTCCAACCAGGCTAAAGCCGGAGCAAAATGCAGCATCAACAAATTTATAATGAGCTGTGCCAGTGGAAGGGATGCAAATAATCGCAACGATACTTTGCCTCTCTCTCACTCATTCTTTCTCTCGGTATCTGTCTCTATCTCAGTTTGACTAGAGAAGTTTTCGATGCGCAACTGCCAAAGTCAGTGGAAAAGTTTTAATGACTTATTTGGAGTTCAATTTCGAAGGCTAGTTTGCTGAGTCTTCGCCAGAGTCTGTCTGACTGTCAGACAATATTCTTCATATTTGTTTTAATTAAAAATGCATTAAAACAATCAACGCGCAAGGAACAAGTACAATGCTCGAATTGTTGCAACAAATTAAAAAGCCATTTGCGCACAACTGCTCGGAGTAGTAATTACTGGAAGTCTACTCAAGTCTATGGCAAATTGCAAATTGCAAATCTCATTAAACAGCAGCAAAAGGACAACAACCTGAACAACGACAACAACAACAGCAACCTGAACAACAACAAAGCTGTTTAATGAATGCAACACGCTTGGCTCGCTGTTGACCACGTGATGAGCACGGCACCAATGAACGCTAATAATGTTCATCGGAGCTCAACAACGCAGACTTGTCCTCAAGGGACGAAGTGTTACGGGTTACGGGTTACGACGGGTTACGGTTTACGCCGTTTCCTGTGTGTGTCCGGCGTATAATCGTTACAATTTCCGACATATGCATATGCATGAATAAGCAACAACAGCCGCAACAACAATAATAACAATAACAGCAATAATGCACACTGACAGCATTAAAGCAACCCTCACGCATACACTCAGAAAAACAATCTCTCTGAGCTTGTGGCTCTCTAAAAACCAAGGTTTGCCATGCTTAATTTAAATCAGCATTTTGCTCAAATTTAGAAGAAATATGTCCAAGCCTGTAAATTTCATTACTTGTTTCTGAAAGAATTTTTATAAAAATCGGGGTTTGCAGTTTTACTTTTTAGAAATTAATTTCAACAAGAAAAACAGTCTATCTTCAGAGAGATTTCAATTTTGTTGCGATTTTTATTCTAAGTGTACATATATACTATATATATATTTGTACATATACACAGATATGTACACTCATATACACAGGCAATGTTACGCGGTTGACCTCAAAACAAAAAGGGTTGCCGCTGACCCCACACAACAATAATCCAATCCTATTTGAGTGATGTCGGTCCTGCTGTCTGCCTGCCTGCCAGCTTACAATATAGATTTCGTAATGGATTTTCAGCATTAATCACATTGTTTAATTGTTTTTGCTGATGCTTGCCAATTGCATTAAAAGAACAAATGTTTAAAATCCAACATACAGCAAAATTTCAAAGAAATCATACAAATATGAATATATATATATATATATATTTTACGTATTTATACAACGTCTAGAAGTCAAACTTTGACTAGCAAAACCTAGTCTTTGGAAATCGGTTGGGGAAAGTTTTTACCCGTCGCAACTTTGTTTTTTAATTTTTCAGCATAGAAATTGAAATGAATTTATTTATACAAAATGATATTTTTCTATAAATGCCGTGAAGTTTCTTACTTTAAATGCAGTGACCATAAAAATTGATTGGAAAAGTCTTGACAACTTTCCCAAGTTATGATTCTCTTGACGAAAATTTATACTTTAATGTGATTCCTTCTAGAAATTGGTCAACACACTCGCAAATAATTGTGTTTTTTGTGTTACACATGTAAATGGTATTTTATTTAAGCTTCAACTGCCCGAAACTAATTCAATTTGCTAAATGATCATTTGACACTCAAATGTGATATGGCAACTAAATTTAATTATGTCAGCCAAATGAAACTGAATATAGCAATTAAATGGGCACTCACTCACTGGTACTCACAACTATTCATATTACACACAAGTGACAAGTGCGAATTCAAACGAAATCAGAGACCAAGACGATAAATCGAAAATATATCTATATTTCTTCTCTTTTTTTTTTTGGGTGCTGGTTTCAAGTGGCAGTCTGGCAATTTTTGGGGTCTGGGTCATTGCCAAGTTGAGCGGTAAGCAATGAAAAAAAAAAAAAAAAACAAAGACAGCAACGTTACCATCTTGGCTGGTGTTTTTATTGAGTTTTTTTGTTCAGTGCACTTGACATGCGGGCCCAAAAAAAGTGGACAGTGAAAATTTATCAAATTTGTCACGGCAAACAAAAACAAAAAGAAAGAAAAAAAATGGATAATCAATCAATTTGGACAGTTGTCCGTCCTCCAATCGATAAATTCCTATTTTGTACAGATAAAAAAAACGCTGCATATTCGCAGCT